TTATACTAGTGTCTTGCCCCTGTAATCATTCTTCATATTAACTCCCCCTCTTGTGTCCTTTGATTGGACCCTGACTGATGCGCTGGAAAATAACCAAATGGGCGACATGCTCAGAAAACAGCAAAATGCATAAAGAGCTGAGAAGAAAAAGTAATGAAATCTCTTACATATGTCAAGTCACTTAAAATACCAAAAGCTACTGATCTCTAACAAAGCAAAACAAAAACTATCAGGTGCAGACTGAAGAGAGGTGGGAAGCCACAGAAAACAATCCTGGGGCTTTGAGGAGCCTGAGGCACGCTGGCAGGCTCCCAGGCCTCATCTGGGCTAGATTTCTGCACAACTCCCAAGAGGCCAGAGTCACCAGGTGGGGTGGGAGAGGCCCGTGTGGCTATCCCACCTGGGCTCACTACCCAGCACAGAGCCCAATCTACAGAAGGGGGCTAGAGTAGTGGGAGAACTGGAATTCTGCTAGCCCAGACCAGCTGGCAACTACAGCACCCTGGCCACCAGCTGCAGGCTGTCCTCGGTCTTCAAGTTAGCAGGCCCCATATGGTGGGCATGCCTCCTGTCTGCTTCAGCAACTTCAGATTAAGCTGTGGTCAGATTTGATAAAGATGTTCTTGGTTCTCTCACAGAAGTCTCCAGGGATCAAAGCAAAGTGGAAGAGCACTAGGTCAATTTTCAGGGAAAGCATTTTAATTAATACAACAATTTGAACCACATCTTCTCCTCCAACTGGCCCTGAAGACAAAGATCTTTGTATTTTGATGCATACTTCACAATGAGCTTCTTGTCAACAACTCTTGGGCATCAGCTCACTGCTGGGCCCTGCAGGTGACCCAGGAGAGTGAGGTCAGACCCTGCCCCAGACAGCTCCAGGCACTCAAGCACTGTGCCTGACTGGCCAGGTTTGGGGGAAGTTCAGTTGGGACCCGGGGCAGATGAGGTAAGGGTGGCCCCACAGCAGGTTCCTGTGTGCCTCTTGCTTATTTCAAGCACCGAGCCCTGTGTGCGGGCAGTGATTAGCAAACTTGCCTTCCTTGGGTGACTATTTCAATCCCAGAACCAGCTTCAACCGTAAGGACAGAGTTTGCAAATTTCCTAGATGACTTTCAGCATTTCCATTTTCAAGTGGTCAAAGATAGTTTGAAAGTAGCATGATTGTGAGCTGAATTGTGTCCTCCCAGGATTCATGTGTTGAAGCCCAAGTCCCTACAACCTCAGAATGTGACTGTATTTGGAGATAAGATCTTTAAACAGGTAACAAAGTTCACATAAAGTCACTAGATTGGGCTTGAATGGAATGTGACCAATGTCCTATAAGCAAAAGAGATCAAGACCCAGACACACACATGAGGACATGGAGAGAAAATGCCCTCTGCAAGCTAAAGAGAGAGGCATGAGGAACAGCCCCTGCTGACACTCTGATCTTGGGCTCCTAGCCTCCAGCGATGTGAGACAATGAATTTCTGTTGTTTAAGCCTCCGATTTGGGCACTTAGCTATGGCAGCCCAGGCCAACTAATACAGGCAGGTTATCGAAGACTTCAGAGTAACAGCTTTGGCCTGAATTCCAGCTCCACCACTTCCTCACTATGTAAGTTACCCTCCCTAAGCCTTGGTTTTTGTGTATGTATCATGGGGATAATATTAGTACCTCCTCCAGGGGTTGCTATGAAGAGTAAATGAGCTAGATGATCCATGTACTGTCCTGGCCAAGCGTTGATAAATGAGAGTCATAGCCTAGGCAGACCACTCTCCCTGATCACACTTAGCCCGTCCAACCTCACACAAGGACATGGCTGATCTGCATCAAAGCACAGCTACCACCGTGATGGAACTCAGAGAGGGCAGAGGGCCTGGCACAGAGCTTATCCTGTCCCTGGCTTATTTAAGTACAGGAATGCCTTTGACTCAAATAGGCACAAGAGCTTTATCATCATGATCACTTAACTTATTCAACAACTGTTTGCCTAGTGCATTCCTAGCACATTCCTAGGCACTGGGGTGGGGGGGGGGGTTGACACAACAAAAAAGATCACAGGGCACTCTCAAAAAGAGAGAACTACAGTGTCAAGAGGACAGATGAGTGGTCCTCTGGCCTGTGGGTGAGAGGGCATGAGACCACCAAAGACAAAGGGAGGGGCTTGTTTTGGGGGGCGTGATGGAAGTGGGGGTAGCTGAGTGAATCTAGATGGGTGTCTAAACTGTACACACACACACACACATTTAAAAAACTCAAATGTACTGTATTTAATTAAAAAACAGAAACACGCAGCCTGGTAGAGGGATCTCTGAAGGAGGGAATGGCCCAGGTGGGGCGGTGGGACAGCTCCCCGCAGGAGACCTCATTCCAGATGTGGAGAAGGTCCAGGGAGAGGCCCAGGGGAAGGAGGACACATGGAAAGCCCAGCTGGAAGTCAGCCTGGTGCCCGTAAAGAGCCGCAGCTGCCACTCCATGAGTGGGACCCCGGAGAGGGTGGGAGAGGGGCTTGGATGCCTGGCCTTCGGGGCGCATCTTAGGCAGGTGCCATGCTGCCCCCCCAGGTGGTGGAGGCATCCCTTCCCACAGGGTGGCCCCACTGGGCCCTAAGGGGTGGCACTGACTCTGTGCAGAGGCCCACAGATGTGTGTGGACCATGGCGGCCCGTCAGCAGGGACACACAGGGCAGTTCTCCAGCCAAGTCAGAAGACTGGCTCACGGTCATGGCCAGAGGATACTGAAGCCTACTGCCCTTGCTGCAGGCTACCTCCCACAGAGGGGCATGAAGGGGACCGTGGTGACCTGCCGAGGACCTGCTCTGGATCTGAGTTAGGGGTTTACACTTGAGTGAGAAGTTACGGGGGGCTGCGGGGTGGGGAGGCACCAGAGCCTAGCTGGGGAAGGGAACCCAGTACTGGGAGGCACCCCCATGCAGAGCCATCCCCCTATGAAGCCACACAGACGGCTGACACGGGGAACACAGCCCAGTCCTCCCAATGCACATGCTTATTTTGTACCAGTACAGCGTACTTCTCAGCACCACCCTCAGGGTTACAGGTTGAACCACATGAAATTACCAATTTTTATACACAATTTTCCTAAAAAAATGGCAACTTCACATGGTCCCACCTAATAAGAAGTAACAAGTAGTAAATAATTTACAACACTGGTCCCTGCAGCCCTGCAGATGATGTTCCTTCACAAAACACAAGTGGCAAAGCTTGCAGGGTGTCCCAGTCATATGGGACATGAGGCCAGGAGTCTAATGACCAGAACCAACTGTCATGAACTGGAATAGCCATGGCTGACCGCTGAAAGAATTCATTCTGGCCACTGTGCCGTAGGGTTAGCTTTATCAGGACACAACCAAGATACCTACACATAAGGTCATTAACCATGTCAAATACATGAAAAGGATAGCAGCTCATTACACATCTGAAAGGGGATAAGCAAGAATCTCTGCGATTCTTCTAAACTGTTTAGCATTCTCGGAAATCATGGGGCTCGACCCACCCTCACCTCTGTCGCGGCCAGACTTCCTCCATCCTCCACTGATGGGGAAACACGTGCCCCCAAATGCTTTCCCAAACCCTTTCTTCCAGGAGGAGAGTTGCTCACCTCCCTGTGCCCTGCTGCCTAAACGAACCACTCATAGGGTATCCAAACGATCTCTCTGTCATCTGCTTCCCTTTCCCCACTGCGGGATGAGCTTTCAGAAGGGGAGACTGCTGTTGTAGCTGTGGTATTGCAGAATGTAGCACGGCATGCAACCCTGTAGTATATGTATTATTAATAATACTGATGTGCAATAGAATCAAAACAAATTCAGGGCCTATTTTAAAAATTCAAATTTATAATAAAGCTGTGATATAGTCATTTTCTATGAAATTTCTAAGCTACCACATGGCCCTTAAAGGCTCATTACACATAGAGAAGCTGAATAACGCGGGCTCTGGCTACAGGCCTCTCTGCAGCCCAGGCCTGGAAGGACCAACTCCCAGCATACATCTAGTTTATATCATGTCATAGTGAAGTCAGACTTTTGGTAAACACCCCTCCAAAGGGACATTTTCAAGATAAAACCAGAAATCATTAAAAACACTTGCATATGCTGAGACGAATGCAGTGCCTGGGCTATGGCACAGGGTGGGGAGGGGGTGCACGAGGCCTCTCAGCTGCAGCCCCACATGGCAACCACAGGGCCAGGAAACACACACTTGGAACAGCCAGTTTGATCAAATATAATTCAACTGCTCATATGACCACACACGCCAGTGCTACCTTTTGAGTTTTTAAATTAATACTATTTGAAGCTTGGAAGTTCCTGGTGCTTGGTTTCTGCCCTTCCGGGCTTGGCAGTAGGATCAGATCACTCCCATGGCCTCTGTGAAGGCCCCCAAAGGTGCCTGCAGGCTTATAAGCCTCCATTAGAGAAAAAAGTAAGACCCCAGGGAAGTCGGACATGATCCTTCCAAAAGGGTAAATATGACTAATTTGAACCTTGCAGTGAATAGGTTTGAGGAGTTAAGCAACATACGAAATGGCAAACAAACAAAACACGCAGAGCTGTGCTCCATCTAAATTCTGCAGGGAAGCAGCTTTGGCCTCTCCCCCACAGCTCAACCCCCCACAGGGTGAAGCCCACAGAGCCTCAGTCAGTGCGGGAAGCATCCATCAGCAGACCCCGACTTCAAGCACATGGGGCAGACTCTTCCTTAACTGCCAGGTGTACCAAGCAGAACAGAGTAGCATTCACCCTCCAAGTTTTTCTGGAACTTCCCAGGACATCCTTCCTGTTTAACTGTCCTCACTGCACCAGCTACTCCATATAATGCCTCCAGAAAATTACTTGGCACATTGAAGTTAAACAGCAGCAGGGACAGTGAAACAATGAACTGTGACCGACATCAGAGAAAAGTATGCCATCAAAACTAATAATCATGTTAAATGCTTTTAAAGATTTCTTCCCAGTGGTACCTGCATGGTCTATGAGATCCACAGTTATTTAGACTTACCTTTTTAATGATGTTATTAATCTCTGGAGTGTTGGGTGTGTACAGTATTTTCCCATGTAATACAGGTTTTAGGAAGGACCACACCAAAGCGCCATTCGGAGACTGCAGGATTTCCTGATAAAGGTTCAGGCAAAATGGTGCTGTCACAAGGAAAAGAAAAGAATTGTTATTCATGAGACAGGATGCCCAAGTTAACAAGAAATGCATGTACGTATCTATGATTCCTCACTTTTCAATGAGTGACATATATTTTTTTCATGATACAATACTGAATTTGGGCAGTAAGTTCAGAAATGATTTTTCTTATCACTGTCTTTAGTGGCTCTTGTCTCATACAAAATTTCAAGACACCATGCTCACATCAATCATTTGAAAGAAAGTAAAGCATGACCTTCACATATTCACACTGAGCTATCATCAAAAGTACTGAATAATGGTAAAGATGGCTCATACTGAAAAGCAGTAATAAAAAAGGAATACATCTGATTTTTAATTTGGAAAATCTGTTTCAACAGTCTCCATATAAAGGCCATAATTCGGTTTTTCTTATGAAATTAGCCTTAAAAGTTATTACAGAATTTTCTTTGCTACACCTCTACAGAACAATTGAACTTGCTGCTTTTGAGCTATTAAATTGCTTTGTTTTCACTCAAATACTTGATTTCTGGTGGTGGTTCATCAGTGCTATGGTGCTGTCTTGGTGTCAGTTGAAGTCTTAACTAAACTGTCCAAGCCAATAGGCACCCAATGCAGGTACAGTCTTTATCACATTAATGATTAGTAACCAAATATTACAAGGTTTTAAGCTAGTGATGAATACTTCCATATAACTAGTTCTTTTACCCCTGAAAAGAACAGTAAAATAGACATACCATCTTAGCATTGGTACCATGATTTGTAGTACCCAAATTATGCGGAATACTGCTATATTTATTCCACTATTAATTTCACCTTCCCAAATCCTCTGTTTGGGAAGAAAAATGAGTTCTTTTTATTCAAGTACAATAAAATCAATTGAAATAATCCCACAAAACATAAATTAAGAGCCTGACTACATAACAAATCTCTAAATCATGAATTATAGAGGCTGCTCTTACTGATTTTAACAACATACACTTTATAAGCTTAATGTAGACAGCAGCAATTTTGATTTCAGGAAAGACAATATCATATATGTGTACAGAACAAGGAATCCTGACATCTGCCACTTGTGAGCTGTGTGAACTTGGGCAAATCACTTAACCTTCTTTCATCACGTCATCTGAAAATGAGGGCATCAATATTGTCTATGGCTAGAGTAAAATGTATGAAAGGACCAAGAAAACCTAGCCCTAGATGGTAGCTGAATGAGAGGATTGATGGATCGATGGATGGATGATTGAATGATTAGATTTGTTGAATAAATCAATAACCCTCAAGAAACCCAAATGCAAGAAAAGAGGAAATGAGGATTAGGAAGGGAGAAACAAAAATATTAAATATTAATAGCCTTAATGTGTGTCTGTGCTGCTAAATGGTATTATACTTGAAGTTATCTAAATTACCCTTCAGCTGAGGAACATACTGATACACTGTCTCTAAGGCAGCTCTAAGGACATTGCTATCTGGCCCCTCACCTTATACCTCCACCTCTGCAAATCACCACTGTTCTCCTCTTCCTTCCCCAGTCCCACCAACACTCTGCCCATCCCAGATGCAGTGAAGAATCATCTTGGGCATAGTGGCAGATTCCAGATCACCCCCTGGCATTCACATGGTGTCCTGCAGACAGAACCTGTGAGCAGGATGGCTGCCACACCCATGGTTGGGTTACACAGCCATGGAGGAGTTCTGAAGATGTAAATAAGACCTCTAATTAATTGACCTTAGGAAGCCTACCTTCCAGGTAAACCCTTTAAAAAGAGTGGAAGCCTGAGAGCCAGAGAGTTCCTCCTATTGGCCTGAAGACACAGCCTCCATGGGTTCTGCAGCCTCAAGGAAATGAATTCTACCCACATTCATCTCAGAAGAGACCTCTGCCCCAGCCACCACCTAGAGCAATCTTGTGAGATGCAGCACAGAGGACCCCACTAACCAGTGCCCAAATCCTGACCCACAGGAACCACACAATGAACATGCGCTGTCCTAGGCCAGTAAGGTGTGGTGGTGTGTTATGTGGCACAGAAACCTACTGTGCTAGGGCACATCTACACTGTTGTGCAAGGCGGCTGACACACATCCTCCCCAGGACTCCTCGCGACAGCCTTATGAGGCAGCATTATTGTCTCCACGTTACAGATGAGACCAAGATGATTCAGAGATGAAGTCATGTGACCCAAGAGGCACGACTTGTTATTGGTGGGGCTGAACTGTGTAAACCCCAAAGGCTGACCATCATGTTTAGTCTGCCTTTCTAGTTAAGATGTCCCCACCTGAAATAGGGCCAAGAAGGTCCTTATCAACCCACCACCATTTGCTGCTAAGCTTTATAGAAGGCAAATTTGTAGGAGGCCCCACAGTGCTCCTCATTATGGGACCAAACTGTGTTCCTGGGCTCTGTGTCTGGACCCCCACCACTAGTGGTTAGCTGGGAGTCCCAAAGGGGCTGGGCGTCAGGCCCAGTCCCCTGGCCTTACAGCTAAGAGGATTGGCCTGTGCTCACAGGCACTGAGGGCCTCCAGAGTCAGCAACCAGTGGCCTTACAAAACTGAAGATAAGAGGGTGAAAACAGAAAGGTCTCTGCTGGCATGCACCCACCTTTACACAGATTATGTAATATAAAACATGGCTAAGGATCAATATACAAATACACCTGAATATGAATTATTATTTTCTTACTTGAATCTTCAGGAATGTTGAATTTTTCTTTGTCCTCTCCCAAGAGTTCATTAACTCTGGGCAAGTTAACAAACATGTTAGAATTGCTGAAGAAAGACTCTTGCTCCTTGCAAATTACCTTCATCATAGACTGGAAAGAACCAAAGGATGAACTTCTGGCCTGGCCGTTTTGTGGAGCCGGGGAACATAAGAAAAATAAACTGCAATTAAATAGTGACATAGAATAATTCACTACAGACTTCTGAAAGTATAGTCCTTCTCCAACTGAATATGCAAGATATTCAACCAGGCAATGGGGTGGAACCTCCGCTTAGCCTTTTCTGTCCTTGATATACTGTGCACATCCCTGCAGTAATTCTTTCTGTCCTGTGTACCTATTAGAAGAAACAAATGTCTCTCTTTCTCTCTCCCTCTCACACACACACACACACACACACCAGCAAATCCTTTTTGTTTGTCCATGATAAATTGTTAATCCATAAAATATCTCTAATTTAGACTAATTAGTGGTCTTAATGTGGTCTGTACTGCCAAGTTATCAAGATACTTGACAATTATCCAAATTAGCCATCAGAACAGGAGCATATCAATATTGCTCCCCTGGGGCAGCTCTGTGGGTGCTGACACCTGCCTCGCCTCCCCTCTCCCCACTTGCTTCTGCAGATCTCTTCTTCCCCAGCAATCCCATCCCAGGCATAGAGAGTTCAAACAAAAATGAGTATCATGCCACTACTTCATTCAAGTGTGTGCTTGTACTTGCAGCAAATACTCTGTGAGTTGTAACCCAATTATTTATATGTAAATAAACATTGAAGGGTTTGAAAGCAATTCATTCTCTGAATTATGTTAAACAAGCCCTTGGAATCTCATTTGTGCTAGTAATCGATTTAGAGGTTTCTGACTTCACAGACAGCGCACGCCGGAGCGATCCCAGCGCCATGTGGGTGGCTGCCGGTCAGCAAAGGACCTTCCATCTAGTTTGCAGGGAGATGCCAGGCCTTACTCTTTGTCATGCTGTTGCCTCTAGAGCCATTAACAGGTATTGCCGATCCTGTATTGTGTTGTCATATGCAAATTTTAGATGTTGGAAGAGAAATAAAGGCAAAAGGAGCAAATGCAAAGACCCTGAAATCTGATATTCCCCAGAGGTCAAGATCAAACACACACCTGTGGGAAGTCGGGCATGTCTCTCAAGGCAGTGATTTGAAATCCATGCAGAAATTCAGGAAGGTGTTTGAGGACGTGGTCAGCTTTGGCAAGCAGGTGGCTGAGTCTAGAGACGACATCCAGCAGGGACCTGAGCACAGCACCAGCTTCCGACGGTATCAGCATCTCAAGGGAAGCAACACAGCACAGAATTAGCAGCACTGTATTTTTTATTCTGATGAGCATCACTTGTGCAGTGGCAACTTAGCTATTTGATGTTATTCTCTCTCAAGCTAGGGAGATGCCTTTGTTGTGCTGTATACCAGTCGTCCTGCTTAGAGTACATATGGCTCAGGATTTTGGAGCCTGCTCAATTGTACCAGTATTGTTAAAATGTAAACCACGGACCAGTGTGATCTATTGTTAAAATCCAAATCGTTTTCAAAAATTTCTTGCTGTCTTTGGGGTGCCTGAAGTGGAAATTTAAAAAGTGTCAAATGAAACAATTCTTACATGTGAAAGAATTTCCATCTACCTGCTGCTTCCCTGAGTTTGAAGCATGCACAGTCACCTCCGCCCCCATAGCCCCCTGAGCAGTGTGTGTTTGTGCTCATTTCATGACAAGGAACTGAGGCTCAGAGAGATTCAGGGCCTCACAGTTAGAGAGGATCAGGGCCAGGAGTTTAACCTAGTGCTTTAGGAGTATCAGTGCCCTCCAAAACCTGCCTGTGCTATCACCTCAGACACACACTGCACTTTACTTACTATTGACATCTTCCTTGTTCTGGAACATAAGTTCAATTCAGGCAGGGATTTTTGCCTGTCTTGGTCATTTATGTAGCTACAGGGACTCAAACAGCATCGGCAATATCATTGCTTGGATGGATGGGTAAAGGAGCAGATGCTGCCTCTTTCACAAGGAGGGAGGGACCACCGCGAATCTCCATCCGCATCCATTTGCCCACTGAGGTTCCCGGTTTTCAGTCTCCAGCTGGGACCCTAACTGTCACTACTTCTTATTCTTTCTCATTAGCCTCCTGCACCTGCCACGTAGCTGCTGGCTCTGTGGCTGACCTCAGATCACAACTCCATCCTTCACAGAGACACTCTGCTAATAATGAGGTGGTCATGTGGTGAATTAGGACAGTGGAGATGATTCAGGCAGGAGAAAGGGAGGTCGGCTTTTTCTCTTCTACTTGCCTTCCTAATTAAGCTGCACCTTCGAAGGGGAACCTACCAGCCTCAGCTCATGGTGGGAATGCCTATAATGAGTCACAGCACAGGCAGACGAGGAACGCACCAGATCAGTCAAACAAGATGTGTTTTGCAAAAGGCTTCATTAATCCACTGTCAGTGCAATGGAAGTGTGTGGGCTTGGGAGAGAGCTAAGCTGGGCTGGAATGCTGGTGCTGTTGCCCACACTGGTGGACTTTAGACTGCTCTGCCATCCTATAAACATTGTACCCTAATCCACTTCCCCAGAGCCACACACAGAAAGCTCCTGACCAACAGGCACTGGTGTTATAAATGGCAGCATCATTTTCACTGTGTCTGGGAGACTGACCAAACCAATAAGTCATCCTTGTGGCCCCTGTCAAAGGAATTATTCAGAGGCACTAATTTCATGTTGGTGGCTCATGTGTGCCTTATAGAATGGCCACTAAAATGCTGGCTTGCCAGGGGCGCTGCATCTGTTTCCCAGGGGCATATGGTCAAGTTGGAAAGTGTGGTGAGCAGGCACAGAGACAAACTGGCTGCATGTTGGCTGGAAGTATCAATCCTATGGGAATAGAGGTGGCCTTGTAAATTATGGCTTTTAGGAAGTGTTTGTCCTCCTGTTTATGGGGTTCAAAATGTATGTGTTCTGAAAATTATAATTTGTTCTCAGAATGTCTGGGTGTGCTTAATGCAAGCTGACATTTGCCCACTGGACTCCTGGTGTAATACAAGGCAGAAGACCACAAGGAAATTGGGCCAGGATGACAAATCTTCTCTTTTCCTGACCTCAAAACGATTCCCAGGATTGGAGCGCCTAAAGCCCTTGCCTCGTTTATGACACTTGAGGCATCTCTGATTAGCCCCAGGGCTGTCAAACCCGTCCTTGGGGGGAACCCTGGAGCAATACCAGTCCCCAAGGGTAGGGGCTGAAGGTTCTGGAAACCTAAGTAACGGCTCAAACAGTAGAGGCCAGAAGATGAGGAACATCTAGAAGAGGTAGAGCCAGGAGCAGGGACCAGACCGGCCACCTTACACAGCCCATGGTCCGTGAAGGGATTCATTCGGGCTTGCCCTCCGTGTGTCTGGGCCCGTCTGCTTTCACAGACTTCCAGCACACACCGGAAGTGTTCTCCAGCCTGCCATCCTCAGCCACTGGGTGTGCAAGTGTGTGGGCAGATAATGAGCTGGTACACACAGGGACTGGGGCCGGACAGAGCAGGCCATGGCCGAGGACAGGTGGGAGCAGCTCCTGACTCAGAGGGGCAACTGGGGGTGGCCCAGCAGCCCAGCACCCCGATGTACTATGAGGTGGCCCTTACAGAGCAGAGCAACCTAGCACTGGGCTTAGGTAGTACTTTTTGCCATTGGTCCTTCTGTGTCGAGTATGCCACCCTGATGCCTTGACTCCAAGGACCCCTGAAAGGTCCCCTGAACACCCCTTGATCCCAAGTCCCACCCCAGAGTCAGTGCACAGGAGACAGAGGCTGGCCATGGCTACCGGGGGGGAGGAGGGGGCTGCACACTCAGCCCTCAGCCACTGCTTACTCATCTGTGTGCCCACGGAAGCAGCCCCTCTGCAGACATCACACCACTCAAGTCAGGCCACCCCAGCTGTCACCCCACTTACTTTGTAAATCACACTCCGCAGGTTCAGGTTCTTACTCATCGACACAAGCAGAGAATACACCTTGGATGCAGGCAGGCCGCACAGTTCCTTCGTTGCAAACCCAGACCTATAGTCCTCGGGGAAGAGCAGCAGGAGGCGGAGACTGCGGCGATCACATCTTCCAGACAGAGCTACAGTAAAGGCGCTCGAGAGAACCTGTTCCAAAGCAGGAGGGCTGGCAGTCAGTGGGTGCACCGGGACCCACAGCCCCCAGGCCCCAGCAGTCCCCCGACGCTCATTTTCCCCAAGGGCTGAGCATTTACGTGTAGATACATGGTATCCAAATTCCTGTTCTATTTTGAACATTTTAAATGGAAATGTTTCTCAAATGTGCACCTAACTCCCTTTTGAAGCCATCTGCCTTTTCGGATGCCTGGGGAGCAGCGCTAACACACACCGTCCCGCACCCGGCCGGGGTGCCCGTGGGACGCCGCCCACCCCACGCCTCTGTGCCGACTCCCGGCCCCTCCACGACACCACCCTCCTAGGTGGCATTCTCATCTTCTTTCCGATATGAAGTCTCAGCCTTGGCTTCAGTTTGTCAGCTTTCACTTTTCACTCTTACCAGGTGAAACTATTTTTTTCCCTTCTTGATTTCCAAACTTAAAAATAAAAATTTCTAAGCTTGCTGCAGTTTTCAAAAATGAAAAGTGAATAAATTCAGAAGAAGGGACTGAGGGCACCAGGCATCAGTGTCTGGTTTATTAGCATTACACACCACAGAAAGAGGGTACGAGGCACATCTGCTTTTGGGTATGACTTTCATTTAATGACCTTCATGATACGACAAATTATAAAGGAAACAGTGGGTCTCCTGTTTGTGGTTACACTCGGATGGGTGTGACTGCTCTGAAATCATCAGGACAAGGGAAACCCTGGCGAGCAGAAGCCACCGCTCATATACAAGGAGCCTCTGGGGCAGGCAGACTCGTCCACTGCTTCCACCTGATGCCACAGAATGCCCCGCAAATCATGAAGAGGTAGAATAGTGTATCAGCCAGGGTCGCCCAGTAAACGGAACAAATAGGATGTGTATAGGCAGAGACAGAAATCTTTTTTCTAAACAATTGGCACATACAAATGTGGGAGCTTGGCAAGTCCAAAATCTGCAGGGCTGGCAAGCAGGAAACCCAAGGAGGAGCGGCTGATGCGGCTCAGCCCGAAAGCTGTCTGGAGGCAGAATTCCCTCCGCCTCAGAGGTTTCAGACATTTCTCTTCAGTCCTTCAGCTGATTGGATGAGGCCTACCCACACAGTGGAGGGCACTCTGCTTATTGACTTAAACATGAATTTCCACTAAAAATAAATAAATAACCTCACAGGGACATTAGATTGGTGTCTGACCAAATACCTGGGTACACTGACATACAAAATTAAACATCACAAGTGTAAGGCTGGAGGCACCAGGGGAAGGGGTGAGCCTGGCTGGACAAGCTCAGGCCTCACCAAACAGGGCGGGGAGACCAACGGGTTCCAGTCTGACAATATTCCAGAGTCTGATCAGACAACATTCCTAACTAGAGCCCTCCCCCAAGCTAGAAGAGTAGTGGTAACTTTCCAGTACCTGGCTAAAGGCCAATGAGAGACCCCCACATACCCTAGGCAAGCCAATCCCCACACCACTGTACACCTTGCTCTCCCTCCCCCTGCCTTCTTTAAAAACTTGCTGCCTGCCCTGCTGGGCATGACTTCCCCAGCCTCCATTTCCATAGACTGGTGAACCTCGCCTGGGAATTGCGTTCAAATAAACTACCTGGCCCTTTTTTGCCTCTCTCCACCTACTTATTTTGGCTAGAATTTATCTTACATTTGGTGCTGAAATCCTGGGAAGGAGCGTGCGCATGGGGCCCTGACTGGTCACCGGCGGCCCTGCCCCCCTCCTTCCCCGACCCAGGACCTCAGCCTGCTCTCTGCTGCATGGACTACTTTCAGGTGAGTCCCTCAGTTTTTCCCGGTCTGTTTCCCTTCCTAACTTCGTTTCACCTGGTCCATTCAAAATTGTAGCTACATCCAGGTCGGGGCATCTGGCCCCTTGAGCATCCGGCCCACCCTCTGCGGACATCCAGCCCACCCCTGGCCCTGCGGTGGGGGAGACGTCCCTCACCCAGGCTCCCAGGACATCTCCCCTGACTTGGCGTGCTTGGGATGCTGGGCGTTCCTCTCAGCTGGATTGGTTAGGGGGTGACGCAGACATGGGGAACCAGCCCTCAAAAGTGGAGACTCAGACCCCGTTGCGGTGTCTCATTTCTAATCTGGCTACTCTGTATTTGTCCCGGGAAGCTTGCAAATGGAAGCTGGTCTTTCTTTGCTCTGAGGCCGGGCCTCAGTATCCCTTGGACAACCAATCTCACAGGCCCCTGAGGGAACTTTCGATTTTGGTCTCCTCACCGACCTAACTAATTATTGTTCCCCTTCTCTTCTGGTCTCTCCTCCATCTTGTTCCCCTTCTCTTCCGGTCTCTCCTCCACCTTGTTCCCCTTCTCCTCCGGTCTCTCCACCATCTTGTTCCCCTTCTCTTCTGGTTTTTCCTCCACCTTGTTCCCCTTCTCTTCCAGTTGCGCTGCCATCTTGCTCCACAGGTGCCGACTCCACTTGAGATAAAACAGATAAAACTCCCCCATATCCTAGTCCCCTGCCTTCAAGTTCCGCATTGATTCCCAGGTTGTATCCCCTGCTACCAAGATCGCCTCCTTCGTCCCCTCCTTCAAACCCACCGCCGTCTTACTCGCCGTGGCTGGCGCCCAAATGGTATAGCCCTCCTGTAACCCGCTCTAAGTCACAGCAGTCTCAAGCTCACGTGATGGCTCCTCTGAGAGAGGTAGCAGGAGCTGAAGGAGTAGTGCAGGTTCATGTTCCCTTTTCCCTGGCAGACTTGTCCCAAGTAGAACCGCAATTGGGGTCCTTTTCCTCCAGCTCCATAATGTTCACTAAATAGTTTAAATATCTCACTCGCGCTTACAAGCTCACCTGGCACGATGTGCATGTAGTCCTCCAATCCACTCTAACCCCGGAGGAATATGACCATGTCACAGCGGCAGCACAGCACTGTGCCAATGAAGCCCATGCCACAGATAAGTGAGAACCTATGAGCAGAGAAGCTATTCCTCTATAAGAACCCCTATGGGATTATAATTCTCCTGAGGGTGAAGCATGCCTGGATCTCATGGTTCACTACTTATTGGCAGGTATGAACTCAACCACCCAAAAGGTTATCGATTATGATAAGCTTAGAGGAATTACCCAGAAACCTGATGAAAATCCATCAGAATTCCTCAAGTGCCTCAAGGAAACCTTAGGGGCTTTTACTAAGATTGACCCAGCCTCACCATTAGGTTCCTCTCTCCTGGCCATGCATTTTATAACTCAGTCAACTCCCGACATCAGGCACAAGCTTAAAAAAGCTGAGGATAGTCCCCAGACCCCTCTAGGAGACCTGGTAGATATGGCATTTGAAGTTTTTCATGCCCAAGAGGATGAGAGTGAGAGGAGGTCAGCTGCCCGAATGGCAGAACAGACTCACGCCATAACAGCTGCTCTGTGGCTGGCTCATGGAAATTGTTGGGGTGTCCCTGAAGATCGACTCGAACCTCTGGGCCTTTGCTTTTGGTGCGGCGAAGGAGGGCACTGGGCACGGAAGTGTCCCAACCAGCCACACAGACTGACCAGACCATGCCCCAACTGCGGTAAGCAAGATCATTGGAAAGTGGACTGTCCACTAGGAGGTGGTCCTCCCCCAATGGCAGAGCCCCATGGGGGGCAGACACCCTCAAAGGACTACCCTTCAGACCTGCTGGGCATCCTTGAAAACTGAAGACGCCTGGACTTGGACACCCCAATCACCCTCGCTGAGCCCAGGGCCAAGCTGTGGGTAGCGGGTAAGCCCATCCCCTTCTTGGTGGATACGGGGGCTACCTACTCTGTTCTCCCCTCTTTTAAAGGGCCTCTGAACCCTGCCAAAGTCTTCATAGTTGGGGTCATAGGAACCCTCTCCAGGCCTTTAGAGATGGGCCTTGTGGCCTGCACTTTCCAAGGCATCCCGTTTACCTGTTCTTTTCTGGTCATGCCTTCCTGTCCTACCCCTCTGTTAGGATGGGATCTGTGCTATAGGTTAAGAGCCTCTATTTCCCTCTCACTTTTTAAATGCTTACAGGATGGCTGAGACTCCCTCATTGCTTTGGTCAGTGAAGGGGAGTTAGATGACAGGGACCTGAGACTCCCAACTACCTGGACTGCTGTCAATCTGGTCGTGTAGGACATCTCTACCCCTGTGGTGGCAACCCACCACACCCCAGTTTTAATACACCTTAAAAACCCATCCCGCTTCCCTTCTCAGCCTCAATTTCCTATTTCGCAGGCTCACCGAAGGGGACTACAGCCTATTGTTAATCGTCTACTCTCTCAGGGGCTTTTAGTAACAACTCTCCATGCAATACTCCCATCTTGCCAGTAAAAAAGCCTTCTGGAGCATATTGCCTTGTTCAGGACCTCCGAATAATTAAGGAGGCTATTATTCCCTTACACCCAGTAGTGCCTAACCCATATACTCTTCAGGTCCCTTCCAGTACCTTTCATTTTACTGTACTAGACCTTAAAGATGCCTTTTTCACTATACCTCTCCACTCAGACTCGCAGCCGCTATTTGCCTTCATGTGGGAAGACTCTTACACCTGTCGATCTAGACAACTGACCTGGACAGTTCTACCTCAAGGTTTTAGAGATATCCCCCAATTTTTTGGATAGGCCCTGGCAGAGGACCTCTCGCAACACTCAACAGGCAAGAGTACCCTCCTCCAATATGTGGATGATCTTTCACTTTGCAGCCCCTCAAAAGAGGCCTCAGTCCTAGACACCACAACCCTTCTCAATTTCCTGGCAGACATGGGATACGGGGTATCCCCTGCCAAAGCACTGCTGTCTCTACCCCAGGTTACGTATCTCAGGCTAGCTCTAACTCCCACCACTAAAGCCCTGATGGCAGACCGAGCAGCTGCAATTAAAGCTCTCCTGCCACCTACTTCAGGAGCCGAGATACTATCCGTTCTAGGATTGGTGGGGTTTTTCAGACACTGGGTGCCTAACTTTGCCCTTCTGGCCAGACCGCTCTATGCGGCTGCCACAGAGACTCCTACTGGGCTGATAACTTCACCCACTGAGGTAGCTTCTGCTTTCAGTTAATTGCGGGATGCATTGCTCTCCTCCCCCCTGTTGATGCTCCCTGACCTAACCAAGCCCTTTACCCTAAATACAGCAGAGAGGGCAGCGGTGGCCACCAGAGTGCTGGTACAGCCAGTGGGGCCGGGGTGCCATCCAGTTGCCTTTCTCTCCAAACAGTTGGATACCACCGCCAGGGGGTGGCAGCCTTGCCTCTGAGCCCTGGCAGCTGCGGGAAGTCTGGCCCGAGAAGCCCTGAAATTACCACTCCAACAGCCCATTACTGTGTATTCCCCACACCGGTTACAGGATCTTTTGAGTCATAAATCCCTGGCCTCCTTGAGTCCTTCAAGGGTACAGGAATTCCACCTCCTGTTTATTGAACATTCACAGGTAACCCTACAAGTCTCTCCACCCCTTAACCTAGCCTCCTTGCTTCCCGTCAGCAATCAGGTGGATCAGCCCATTCACTCCTGTGTAGAGATTGTAGAGGCTCTTAGAAAACCTAGAGAGGGGGTACAAGATGTGCCCCTCAAAGACCCCGACTTGACTTTTTTTGTAGATAGAAGCTTGGTGAAGGGGAGTGATGGGTTGTGGAGGGCAGCCTATGCAGTGGTGACTCTGTCGCAGGTGATAGAAGCAAACCTACTCCCATCTGGGACCACCTCCCAGAAAGCCGAATTAGTGTCTCTTACCTGGGCATTACAGCTGGCAGCCGGTAAGAGGGCCACAATTTATACTCACTCTAAATATGCCTTCCTGATTACACACACTCATGCTACTATTTGGAAGGAAAGGGGGTTCCTCACCACCAAGGGAACCCCAATCATCAACGGCAGAGCTATCAGCCGCTTGCTACAGTCCCTACAAGACCCCAAGGGGGTGGCCATCATGTATTGTAAGGGACATCATACTGGAAACGATCCAGTAATCGGAGGTAATGCGTTGGCAGATGCCATGGCCCAACAGTTAACATCCGGGTCTAGCCAACACTCTGTGTTGTTTCTTTCCCCCCTCACTATTGCCCCAATACCCCAATGACGAATGGCGACTGCTTCTACATCCAGGGGGGACGTTGAGAGACCAGGGATGGATATATCTTGGGGGATGAATTGCCCTCCCCCAAGCCCAAGGCAGAGATGTCATATTCAAAATTCATCAGGTCCTACACATTGGGCTGAAGGCTATGCACTGGTATCTCTCCCCCATATTTGCCCCTTATGGTCTCTGCAAGGCTATAGATCAGGTGCACCAGACCTGCACTACTTGTCATCGCGTCTTGTCTCAAGGTGCTCTGAAGACCCAGATGGCCCTCCACCAGATGAAAGGAACAATCCCTGGACAGGACTGGCAGGTCAATTTCACCCACATGCCTAAGCATAAAAAACTGGTATTTACTAGTTCTGGTTGATACCTTTTCCCCACCAGCTAGGAAACAGCTTCGGTAGTGGCACAGACATTGGTAGCACATATCATCCCATGCTTTGGCCTGCCTGCCTTGCTACAGTCGGACAACAGGCCTGCTTTCATCTCTCAGGTCACTCAGCTAACAGCAGAGGCTCTCAACATCACCTGGAACCTCCATATACTCTATCACCCCCAATCGTCAGGTAAGGTCGAAAGGGCTAACAGTCTCCTAAAGGACCAACTAACTAAGCTGTCTCTAGAGGTAAAGCTCTCGTGGCCTGATCTTCTCCCCATGGCTCTCGCTCGGCTGCGTGCTGCCCCCCGGGGACCGGCTGGACTAAGCGCATTTGAGCTGATATATGGCAGGCCCTTCTTACGAAACACAGGCCTGTCCACTACCTCTCCTCCTTTGGCCTCCTACCTTCCTTACTTCACAGTGTTGAGACATCTTCTTAGGGAACAAGCAGACCAGCTCCTACCCCAACCTACATCATCCAACAACCCAAGAGACACAGCAATCCTTCAGCCAAGAGACGAGGTACTCCTAAGAGAACTCCAGCCCAAATCTCTCCAACCCTGCTGGACAGGGCCTTATACAATACTCCTCACTATGCCCTCAGCAGCTAAACTACACAGGCATTCCTCCTGGTATCACCTTTCTAGGCTCAGACAGGCACCCAGACATGATGATTGGGTGTCTTGTGAGGTGGGCCCTCTTAAGCTGCGGGTTAGTCGTGTCAAGTACAACCAGCCAGATGAATAGCCCGGTAGTCTCCAGGCAGATATTCTTCATGGAAGTTTAAGCTCCAACTAACTCTTTGCAGAATCAACTGAGAAGTAGGCACCCAAAGTTGCCCACATGTAGGTTGTTGGGCACCAATTTCAGATACCGGTACACACAGACATCTTAAACACTTTCTAAAATCCTATGCTGTGCTTTCCATATGACCAGATCTCTCATACATGTATTTTCCAGTCTGACATGTGTGGGGGATTTCATCCTGAATTAGACACATGTAGAGTTCATGCAGTAGAAAAAACAGCAAGAGGAGTCTCTGACAACATGTTCTTCAGAATACAGGATAGGCTATACATTACCATTAGTGACCCATGGGATCCATGCTGGGAAAAAGGAGTACAGGGCAAGCTATACCATAGTTACCAAGCCTCCCCACAGGGCACAGTACACATCAAGAGGGAATGGACCACTGTAAACCCCACTCTCACGGAAGTTCTAAACACCCAGGCACAGGTATCAAGTAATATTCTACAAACAGAACAGGCACTAAAACAGAAGATTCAGTCGGACCCCTACCCCCACTCCCTATCACCAGCAGGAGCACCCCTTTCCTGGGCCGGAGTCATTGGAGAAACAGTGCGGTTTCTTAATGTTTCACATATCCTCAGCAATGTGTCCTATTGTTTCCTCTGTGCCTCCCTCCAACGCCCCTCAATGGCGGCAGTTCCCATTATTTTTTTCCAGGCTCAACCAGTAAACTGAAAAAGACTGCGGCCTCAAGCGAGGTACCGATGTGGAAAATGAGCCTTAAGCCCTAGGCTCAACATAAGTCTGGGGCCACCAGAAAACAACGCGAAGAACCATCGTCCCCACTGACCTGCTACCTGACCCAGCATTCCACCAACTCAGAATTGTCAATGGGAAGCCAATGCCGACGACAGGTAACCATAGGCACTCCAATTTCCCTTCAAGGGGGCAGGTTTTTCTGTTGCAACAATACCCTTACCCAGTGTATCAGCAGCACCACCATAGGGCGCTGCTTTTCAGTGATGCTAGTTCCCCAATTGACATTATACAACAAACCTGAGGTAAAGCAGGCACTAGACAGATGGTCTATGTATCCGGGAGCTAGATAAAAGAGGGCTGTCTTCCTACCCGAACTAGTAGGAGTAAGTCTGGTCACCACAGCAGCCACAGCTGCCACAGGGGCAGGAGGGTTAGGCCATAGCCTAGTCAGCTCTCAAAGTCTCACAAATCAACTGGCAGCATTAGATGATAGAGTGAGCCTGACCCTGGGAGAAACCTCAACCTCTCTGATTTCCCTCCAGCGGCAGCTTACTTCCCTTGCCCAAGTCACCCTTCAAAATAGGCAGGCTCTAGATCTGTTTACTGCAGAAAAGGGCGGAACCTGTATTTTCTTGCAGGAAGAATGCTGCTACTATATCAATGAGTCTGGGGTCGTGGAACAAAGCATAAAAAAACTACAAGAACTACAAAAAGACCTCCATAAAACATGAGTACCTGAAGGCAGCCCTTATGAGTGGCTTCAGTCCCCCTTGATGGCCTGGCTAATGCCTCTGCTGGCCCCTTCATAATAGTTTGCAGTTTACTCTTAATTGTCCCATGTGTTTTCAAGTTCCTTCAACAGCGCATGGCAGAAATATCACACATAAAGGTCATTCAACTGTTGCTGCACAAGTACTCGCCCCTCCCGACTGAGCCTCCTCCAGCCATCAACCAGCCTTAAACTCCCCTCCACGACGCCCCTTGTCAGCCGGAAGTAGCCAGATCAAGTCAACGCCCATTATGACCAAAAGGCTGGAATGTAAGACTGGAGGCACCAGGGGAAGGGGTGAGCCTGGCTGGACAAGCTCAGGCCTCACCAAACAGGGCGGGGAGACCAACAGGTTCCAGTCTGACAACATTCCAGAGTCTGATCAGACAACATTCCTAACTAGAGCCCTCCCCCAAGCTAGAAGAGTAGTGGTAACTTTCCAGTACCTGGCTAAAGGCCAATGAGAGACCCCCACATACCCTAGGCAAGCCAATCCCCACACCACTGTTTACCTTTGCTCTCCCTCCCCCCCCCCACCTTCTTTAAAGACTTGCTGCCTGCCCTGCTGGGCGCGACTTCCCCAGCCTCCATTTCCATAGACTGGTGAACCTCGCCCAGGAATTGCATTCAAATAAACTACCTGGCCCTTTGTTGCCTCTCTTTGCCTGCTTATTTCGGTTGGAATTTATCTTACAACAAGTGGCTAGGATACTCTAATATGCATATGTACATCTTGAATACTGAGAGAGATATATTAAGTATCTTACTACCTAATTAACCAAGAAGCCCTTTTGTCATATGGAACTTTCATGGTGCAGACACACCTTAAAAAACATTTCCTTAATGCCACTGCCTTCAAATATGTCCCATGGTGGGGAAGGTAGAAGCCTTGGGTGGGGAGGAGATTCAAAGAGGAGGTAGGATAAAGGGGGCATGGACACCCACTTTCTGCTGTAATCAGGACAGTCCCTCTTGATCAGCTCCATAAAATGGGCTTCAGTCTGAAGTGTTCCTTGAAAATGGGATTCCTGCGAGCCCACAGCTGCAGTGGAGTTGCTCCTGGCTTTGGGTGGGCATCAACCAGAACTGGCCAAGGAGCGCCCCTCTCTGCTTGCTATGGAGACCTGGTCTCAGCTGTCACCCAGTGGTCCCATATAGATCCTATTCAGTATGTCTCTTAGCATTCAGTCCTAAGACAAAAACATTGTGTACACTCCTTTTAACCTAACAGAGCGGTCCCACACACTGCCTATGGGATCCAGTCTTGCAGAAACCCCAGTGACACCACACAGACAGTGACAACCTGCACAGTGATTGCTGACACTCCTTCTCTTTGGTTTTTCCAACTTTACTCTTCATCTTTTTGAAATCTTGCTATGTCCATTTTTTCCTGTTCAAAAGCCACCTGGAACAGGTAGAAGCAAATGAGGAATAAAAACAAAAAGATAACACTCAGTTTTTTTGAATTGGAAACATCAAGTGCGAATCCTCTGCAAAGTAAAATAGACATTTTCAACTGGCTTTGTTCAGGCTGACAAAGCCAATTATCAGAAACAAGAAGGCCAGGCTGCTGATGCTTTTCCCATGCATTTATGTTTGGCTTGGGAAACCACAAGGAGCCAGGGATCCAGGGCAGAGAGCCTCTCACCACTGTGTGCCCAGCACGTGCACACACACACACACACACACGTGCACACACTCAATTAGGTATTTACTTGGGTTCACAGACTCCTTTTAAAAATGAAGACAATGCCTAGGAGAGGTATTTACATTTTTAGCAGAAGCTTGTTTACTGGCATCTGTCAAAACCCTAATTGTGTTCAGATGAGTGCCTCAGAGATGGCCTTGATTTTGCCCAGCTGATGATTTTAGACTCAGAGGTGCAGGGAAACATAGGAAGAGACTGCTGTTTGCAGCCTAATTATGACTAGAAAGGTAACAGTGACAGTGATGTGTAAGCACTGGAAATACTGGGGGATGTCCACACCATGTCACACTGCCTATGAACAGAGGAAGCAGGATCGGGACAGATATTTAAAAATCTATCTTACATGGGTCACAATGTGTCCCACAGGGCTCAGGTCTGCCTCCACGATGAAGCAGGATGGACAAGAGCAGGAGAAGATTGAGAGGACCCTGCCTGGCCCTGCAGGGAAGATACAGGAATGAGACGGAAGGATCCTGAGTAAGGCTGATGTCAGCTGAACCCTGACACCAGCTCCAGCTGGGCACCCTCCCAGGTAAAAGACACCTGCAGCCTCAGTGCCTTCATCTACGCAACAGAGGTGACAATGAGACCCAGAAGGACTCCACAGGGTGTTCTGTGAACTAAATGGAATCAGTGCATCAGGCCCTCTGCATGCAGGTAGGATGCTACCAACAAACACATAGTTTAACTTACAGGAAATTTGAAAAAAGATGAGTATGAATTCAACAGGTTGTTGAATGAAAATGATATGAGAGGAAAGGTAAACCTAACTAACTCCTTGTTTCCATATTCCTGAAGAGACAGTCTTGGCCCTGGAGAGGATAAAGGAGCACTCTGAGGGAGTCTGGGAACTGGTATCCACGTGGCCGTCTGCATGCCCCTCTCCGGGCCCTGCTCTCAGCCCTGCCCTGAGCCCAGCAGCCTGTGCCACTGAGGCAGGCTCATGGGCTGGCTGCATGGGCTGCCCCCACGTGGGCCTCTCTGGGTACATTTGAATGGCTGCAGACAGGATCAAGGTTCTATTACTTATTACAGGGTTTAAGAAGTCAGGAAGGAAATGAAACTAGCTCAGTTTTATTTTTTAAGGCGGATTTTAGAAATTACCAACAGCTAATAATGTCAATCCTTGGATGAATTCTGATCATGAGCCCTTGCAGAAAATGGTAATTGCCAGAAACCATGTTGATCGAGTCACCACAAGAGTCAGGTCAGGACAAAGGCACTTTCTTTTGACAGCAGAGTTATTAGGCTAGTAAGTCACCAGGACCCACAGCTCACATGCTGTGGCTGATTTAAGACTGATGAACAGTGTGGGTTGGTTGCTTCCCAAGCCGTGGTCACCTCTCTGCATTAATGACTTGAATAAAAATAGAGAAGAATTGCTTACCTCCTTTGTGACTGGCACAGTTGAGAGGAACAAATGACACTTTGCAAAGCAGAGTCAGGATTAAAAGTACCTTACTATCTAGACTGGCTGGCGAGAACTAGCGAGAAGTACTTCGGCAGAGATCAATGCAAATCCTGAGCTTTAGGTTCGAAACATTTACTTAAGTACATGTAGGAAAGATGCAGCCATTAGAAGCAGCAATTTATTTATTTATTTTTTTTTAGCAGTTGGTACAGGGTCTGAGGCGCACCGATTAAAGAACCATAAACTCCAGCCTGATGATGTGGTAAAGTGTTGCCTGAGGGAACAGAGTGAAACTCACAGCCTAGGACACCGATTCCCTACGCGGAGAGCCAGTGGTGTCTGGCAGGGACACCGGGCCAAATTCTTCTACATGGGCCAGAAACCCTTAACTCCACTCACACATTAATAATTTTCCCTCTCTCAGTGGGGAGGAAAGACAGAATGAGCAGATTTTGACTGACATCGACTCTGAATGAGCTACACCACCAACTAGCTGTAGCGGCTTTTCTGAAGATAAAGCTCGTACACTACATGGGATGCATGATGCCCATTAAATTCCCCTAAGGACTCTCTCTCCAAAATCTGTGCCAGCCAGCTGTTAATGAAGCCCATGGAGCCAGCGTCAAGAGAGACAGGGAGATTTGGCCAGATGCAACAACGTAAGCATTTCTGCCCAGGGGAAAAAAGAGAAAGTCTCAGAATACCTTTCCCTTTGAGGAAGCTCTCAGAAGACAGCAAAGCTCATGGGGGGCCCCGGCTCCCCACCCTCCTCCCTGTGAGAATCCTGGGAAGGGGGACAAATGTGCTGAGGATTTTAGACATGCTCATCTTCCAGGGCCGTGGAAATACACTCAGTTGTTTGGAGTTCAAAATGAAAGGACAGTAGACAGACCCTCTGATGGCTCTCTCTCAATCTACTTGAGTCCTGATTCTGACTCATTGTTAATTTTAAAAGAATAAAAATTTGGCCTGACATGAGGAAGGAAGTCACTGCAGATTTAAAGCCAACAGCATGACACAAAAGGCATGGACACTTCTGGGTGGCGAGGGGGGTATCCAGGCCCTCCTTCATCCAGGCTCCAGGTCTGACCTGCCCAGGAGGCTGAGATGTGGGTTGTAACTGGGAACTACTGGGGTTAAAGGATGGGGCATCCTAAGGGCACCCCAGTGGGTTCTCTGGAACCGGAAAGAAACTCAGAAAACAAATAGCGTAGGCTCAGCGTGCCACCTGCCTTTGGCCCTTTGAACCACATCCAACTCTGAGACTTAACACAGCTCTTTACAGCCGGTGGCTTCCCTCATTCCATCCTAGCCCCAACATCACCTCCTCACAGCTTCCCTGTGATCGGCCATTCCCACTGCTGACTGTCCCTCTACATGCTCTTCCCCTACATGTGTTTATTTATTTAGCAGGCTGCCCCTGAGAACCCCCGGTCCCTGCTGTCAGTCTGACAACCAAGAGAAAAACAGAGCCCCACACTGTCACCACCCAACCAAACATGAATTTGTTACCTAGGATCTGCAGACTCATGTGGGTTCAGGGATAAATTGGTTATCAAAGCAAATTATTTCATGATTTAGTTGAATAGCAAAAATGCAAGCTTTTCAATACCCTCCCACTGACCCACATGCTCAGCTACTTAGGTGACTCTGATGACTCACACTGCCAAGGAGGTAGAGGAAGATGGAAAACCACACCGGTGACCACCTACACCCAGTGTCCCCTTACGAGCCCACACGGCGGTTCCCCCAATGGAACGTCAGTGACATCTAGTGGTAGCTTGCTTAATCAGGCAGCAGCTATCAAAAGAGTTGAGCTCAAACCCAGGAAATTTTGCAGGTGAAAGGGACCCTAGAAATTAGCTGACCTGGCCCTTCCTTAAAAACACGTCGCTGGTCACCTACTTAAATCAAGCTGGTCACTGCCCCATTCCCTTTGGAAGCCCCAGTAACTGATGACTTCACACCAAATCTTATCACAGTTTACAAATGGAGCAGCTTAGCAGAAGCTGTCCCCACCCCTCCTTCACTCTGGCGTCCCCAGGCAGATGTGTGTGTACACATACCTTTGATTTCTCCCTCAAGGTGGATACTGTGTGACTTACCATAAGCTACATGGTGATACTAGAATTTGACTTTGGGTTTCCTAGCTTCTAATCTATTTCTTTCTTAGGGCAGGTTAACTCTTAATAAACTCATCTACCTGCCCAGGCTTGCATTAGGCCCCACTTATCGACATGAAACTAAATGTCTACTGGGGCCCAGCTGGCTGTCAATACAAACATCCACCTGAGAGCCACCTTCACGGTTACTGCTTCCGGAAGGTGTTCTGGACAGACAAGTAAAACCCCAACAGGAAGTGCCAGCAGGACATCTCAGCAAAATACCTGCTAAGGATGCAGTCATGTCTGCAGTGGTCCAGGTGGAACCCCCTCTTCCCATCCTCCAACACAGGCCATGCCCCAGCACCAGCCAACACATGCTCAGCTCCTTATTCCAGGTGCTTCTCAGCTACCGGGAGACGGCACTGCTTCCACCATGAGCCACAGCCTCAGTACACCGTCCCCCATACCCAGCTATTCTGTACTTAAAAGAGATCACAGCTGATGTTTAGAGCTTTTCAGATGTTTTTGTTTTGTATATTTTTGAGAATTTTGCAACCCCTGCTTAACCAAGCAGAGCCTCCCTGGGATACCGTGCACCAGGAATCACTGGTGTATGTCATCTTTTTAATCACAAACAGAGGCAATATTAGGAAATTAAAGACCCTAAGGCTTTAGCATGGGACAAGAATACCCTTTGGTTCCTGAAAGGTTCTCTCATTTCCTTTCTGCTTCCAGTTATATCTTTCCCACTGGGGAGGGGAGGCAGGGAGGAAGGATGGCCCCAGTCCCGGGACAGGTTGGCAAGCAGAGGAGATGCCTGGGCACTGTACCTTTGAATGGGAAATATTTGCTTCTAAAATACTGCTGATGGTGTCATCTGAGATGTGGATGGAAGATCGGAGCTCTTCAGTTAATTTGGTGGTGTTCTGCACCAAATCTTTTACTTTTACATCTGAAAAGTAATCAGAAGGAAGGAAATTGTATAATGACAACAGTGTGGGCTAGTACTGACTATGAAAACTAGATCTAATACTAAACCTGGCAAGGCCCGTTCCCGTCACTGTGTCCAGGGCACAATAAACACTAGTAGAGTCCCATCTTACTCCTCCAGGAGGACTGACATACTTTATGCTGAAAACAAAGCAAACCCCAGGTTTCGGGGTATTTCCTGCTCACTTGCTCACTCTAAGTCCTGGATGTTCAAAATTCACTCTGGAAAGAAGCTTTTCTTATGGAACAGTGACCAAGTGCTGCAGGGCTCACCTCTGTCCACTTACCTATATACCTCACTTTTTTTTCTTTTTTTACAGGAGGAGGAACATCTAAGGATTTCCCACAGTTCCTCAGATGTGGTCAGTTGATGGGGGCCATGAGGACTTTATGAACTGTCCAGATTGAACAGTCCAGGAAACAGAGCCTCAAAGACCCAAATGGCTTGTCTGGGGAGGCAGGACCAGGGCAAAGCTCCAACCCCAGAAGTCCTCTTCCTTCCCCTCCTGAATTTGGTACCAGGGTTTTAGGATTTTCCTTCTGAACCCCAAATATATCAGAGCAGCCAAGCTCTAAATTATTGTTTATCATGGAGAGCATAATTTACCCTTGCTATGTTTTATTTTAGTGATACATTTGTGTGAGAAAGTAAATTTTCAACCAAGCTGACTTGAAGGAACCACAAACTTACCCTCAGTTACTGTGAAATTGCTCAGAAAAGTCATAATGGGATTCCCAGACAACAAAGTCTTCTCAAGGCTTTGGGCCAACCTAAAACAGCAGAAATTAAAGCTCCTTTAGGCAAGACCAACCACCAGAAACAATGCTGGAGTGACTAATACTGCTGCAGCTCAGAGGGAATGAGCCAGACGACAAGATCTCAGGCAATTAGACACACAGTGTCTCCTGACACTCTCAGTATGTGAAGACCCATTAATATCACATATTGACTGAGCCCCTATCAGTCAAGATGAGTCAGGGGGATAAGGATGCATAATAAATGGCTTTTCATAAATGTGGAAAGAATGGACAGAATGGGTCATGGAATGTATGAGAAATTAGGATACTAAGAAGTCAGATAAACATCATTCTTTCTGGGAACAAGTCATTTGCAGAATACAAAGTGCCTGATTTCCTCTTCCAGTGGTTGACACTTTCAGAACAGAGAACAAAATTAATCCAGTAGAAAGTAATTTGAAAAATCTTTTCTCTTACAGAATATATTTAATACCATACTGTAATCTCAGATCTCAACATTGTGATCTAATATCTCAGTCATCAATAATGCGAGCCTGAGAGCTAATGCTGCTCTTACATTTTACAATTTAAAAGCCTAATGTCATGGAAAACCTCAGTGTTTGGAAAGTAGGTGTTTATTAATAGTATGTTGTACACCTTACTGTCTAAAGTTCATCATTTTAAAATGCAAGACATCTCCTTTATAAAGGGAAGTACTGGAATGGGCACAGGCGCCAAGGGAGAGCATACATGTGCATGCGCTGCTGAGCCGTGTCCAGTGTGGGCTGGCATTCACAGTCCTGCTCCGTGGCCTTGTCCAAGCTTCTCCTGAAGCCTTCCAATGTGTCGGAAAGATTCCTGCTGAGACTTTCACAGTTTAGGTGAAGGGGTGAGGACCATATCTTTCCCATTTCCTAGAAAATATTGCAGTGATGTAGTTAGAAACATATACACTTCTTTGTATGAGCTTAAGTCTAGTCTCCAGTTAAATGCATGCCCACACTGAGTATTACATGCACTGTATGTTTTCAGCATATTTTCCTTAGTCTTGGAACACAGCACTGAAGACTGAGCATGCACAGCCCCATCCCACTGCTCCCGTGCACTGCAGAGCAGTAGAAGGAGCCCTTGGCTGAAAATGAAGAACCTGCATTTTAGTCCTGGTGCTGCCATTAACCAGCCAGCCAAGGGGGGATGTTCTCCAAGGCACAGCAGAGGACAGGCACCACCCAGCTGATGACCTGGCACTTGGCCTCCTGGAAGAACTCATTTCTGGTTTGAAAATAGGCTTTTCAAAATTCCCAGCCACAAAACCAGTAATTGAAAAAAAATCACATATGGTTGTCCATACATTTACTTTATTCATCCTACAGTGAATAAAGGCTGAGTGCCCCTGAGGTCTGCAGGGCAGCCTGGGAGCTTCCTGTCTTCCCCTCTTTGGGAGGAGGGGTTCCTCAGACTTTGAGGAACACAGCAGGAGACTCCCACTCTAGGCCCGACTCTGGGATTCCATGGACATCTTAGCATCTTACAAGCATTAACCAGCTTTATAAAAGACCAATCAGTTTGAAAAAAATTTCTAATAATCCCTATAAATTGATAAAAATGTGAAACATGTATCATATGTACAATTAAGTGACAAATACAAAGTCAAAAATGTGAGGAATACTGAAATGTCAAGACAGAGGGACCCTGAGCTCTGAAGCATCCCATGGTGGGCCACCTGGCACAGGTGACAGGCTCTGCATGGAGAACAGACTTCTCAGGAACTGAGGAGCATTAACACAGGACCAGACACCACCATCGCCTCCATGGGACCTACAGTCACGCTGGGGCAGCCGGCCCAGCCAGTGGAGCATCGCTCAGATGGCACCACTTGACTCTACCACGTTGCTGAGTCTCTTTTTCCAAGTTCACTTTTCTCCCAGTGAATTTGGGGGTGAAACATGCACAGAAATCCTACAGAACTGTTCACTCATTCCTTCCTTCAGAAGACCTTCAGTGAACGCCAGCTGAGTGCTGGGCACGGGTGAAGCCCCAGGCCTGGAGTTGTGAGCTCAGGAGACAAGTCCCCACCTCCGAGAGGCTTGCATCGCACTGGAGGAGTCCCCCCAACAAACAGACATGGGAGCCACTTGTTGGCATGTCGGAGGAAGATGGAGAAAAATAGGCAGAAATGGGGAAGCAGTGCTGGAAGCTCTAGCAAAGGCTCACAACTTCACATAGGGCTGTCTGGGAAATACACAGAGGCAGGTGCAGGAGGCCAGCTCCACGGGGAAGAGCATGAAGGGACGGAGTGGGACACTAGCAAGGCGATCTTCACTTGGGTGGCCAGGCCTAGCTGGATGCCGGCACTTTCTCTGATTGAGACTGGAAGACATCAGTGCACAGCTGAGGGGTGACATGTGCTGGTGATGCCCCAGAAGCGGGACTTGGCTGCAGACTTGAGACAGGGAAGTGGAGAAACTGGAAGAGTCAGGGACAGGTGGGGGCTTGAATCCGAGGACCCCAGGCAGGTGGTGCAGCATGCCCAGACTCTGGAAACAACTACAGGGTGGAACTAACAGTTTGCTAACAGAAAAAAAGTTAAACAAGTGCCTGGCCACTGGGGGACAGGGTTTGCAGGGGGCTGGCTGGTGAGGAGATTGAATCGTTGTGAGGCTCTGCATTGAGAGGCCCATGGACGTCTCAGTGGGGCAGTTGGAGGGCAGTTGGGCACACAAGCCTGAAACAGGAGGGGCCTTTGGACGCTGCCAGGGTATTCATGGCATCTATCAGACTATAAACGGATCTGGAGGGGACCATCCAGTGTGAGAACACAGAGAAGCAAGCAGGCCTTGGTAACAGGGTGGGCCAGCCACAAGGAAAGGCAGCCCAAGCCACGTTCTTCCTCTGGCTGGAAGAGTCTGTCCCGCCCAGGAAAGGGTCAGATAGGTGTACTGGGTCTGCTATATAGGAACAACGCTGCCCACAGGTGGGCCCAAAGGCCTGGAATGGGGAGGGGTTAGGAAGGCCCAGGTGAACCTGCTCTGCTGGCCACATTCCCCAGTTTAGCTAAACCCAGAAGCACTGAGACTCATCAGGCATTTGCTGTCACTGCATAAATGTACTTTCTTACCCCATCTAGCCCTTCATTGCTATTCTCTACTCTTTAGAATGAGGGCGAGGCCCTGACCCCAGAACACTCACCACATTGATTCAGCCGGACACGACTTTCACTCCCGATGGAATTCCACATTGGTAGTGAGACAACTTGATGTTAGGATATCTATTTAGATATTGAAAGACTAAAATAGCATCATGCCTCTGCTGGCCTCTGTCAGGCACAGGCCACTTTACACCCCGCCACCTGGAGGAGATTTATGTTTCTAAAAGCCTCACACCCTTCAAGACCTTGAACCACAGACCTATCCTGGGAGCTTTGCATCCTGAGACAGCAACCTTCTATTTCTTCACCAAAGACAGGAACTTCTGCTTTTTATCAAAACTGACCTGTTACCAGCCAGAACCATTGACAATTATATAATTTGAACAATAAAAACACTCTTTGAGGCAGTTTGTATGGAAAGCTGGCAGTTCTCGTGTGTCTCACTGCTTCAAACTGCACTCAGGAACTGTCTACTAGTTTCTCTAATGTTGCCACAAGTGATCCTGACAAAGATTTGCACAACCTGGAGATAAGAATCTGATGATCGAAATAAACCAATGTAAATATGACAGATGGCTGGGCTGCAAAGACGAGGACCTCGGTGGACCCCACAGGGCTTCCTGCTCACTCATGCCCCACAGCCCAGTGCAGGAATCACAGCCCTGACTTCTCACATCTTCATGCAGGTGAGGCCTTCAACCCCCCAAATGCTGCTGGGGTTCACCCAACTATCTCTAGTCTCTTGGCATTGTCTTTCTCTCTACTTGCTGTGATAGCCCAGTATGGGGGAAATGGAAGTTCCTATAGCCAAGATCCTCACCTGACCCTAAACTACTGATGCCATAACTGGCCTACTGCTAGGCTAATGCTTTCACACCCTTAGGCAATAAGCTAGTGTTTACTGAGTCACTATATAAAGAGCTCTGCCCAGTGCTCTGGGTGCAGGCAGAGACGGAGGATTACAGAGCTGCCGACTGCTGAATGCAGATGTAATTCTAGTGCTTGACCTACCACTGTGAGAAGAAAGTCAGTTATAAACACTTTTACCCCAAGAATGTTCTCTTGTCATTCCTTGGTCTCACTGAATCCATAGTGAACTTTCCTGGGGCTGAAACCTTCAGGGAAGATAACAGCACCCACTGTTAATGTGATCAGGTGGAGTTACTGTACCACAAATGTGATAAGCAGTATTCACAATGGAACCTAGGAGGGAGGTATCTGCTCCACCGCTGAACAAATCACCACAGTCCAGGCTTCCCAAGCAGGTCAGGCCTGCCTGTGGGCCCCACGGTCTTTACGCCCAGAGCCAGGGAGTAGGCCCCATGTGAAAGTCACTTCTGCCAGTTCTTACTGGGCACTTACTTGATCAAAAGGAAACCGCTAGCTGGTTCCCTTCAGCTACCAGTTCTAGGTACTCACCAGTGTGTTCAATTAGTCAGAACCCATAATGGGCTGGTACACATTTAATCAGTGGCTCTCTGGGAAAAAAGATCTTTTTGGTAGAATTTGCCTATGTTCATGGTGTAAATGCTCTCATCAAGTCCTAGTTCGAGCTGCCAACATGACATCACTGGTGCAGAATTGGGAAGAGATGCTCAGTAGCACATGGCTCTCTGACATTTCCATTATGTGATGCAACAGGTGTAAAAATTCTCAAAGGATAGACAATAGTAAACATACTAAAATATTAGGAGATGGTAAATCTCGAGTATTTAGTAGCTTTGTTTTTAACATAATTCATTTTATCATATATTTATATAATTTGATTATTAATAATGTTCATGTATAAGAACCAGCTTGTAAAATTCCTAAAAACTTCACCATCAGCTTACAAGTCCACGCTCTTCACCCTGCACACCACCTGGAAGCCCTGGGAGGTGAGGGGTGATACCCTGCAGGCCCAGCCTTCATATGCCTATGCACAATACAGCCACCTCAGGTGTAAGGACAAAGCCAGCAGGCCCAGAATAACAAGCCTTCCCTGCTGGACCAGCTGTAATGAACACACGGCTCTCTGAACCACGGAGCCAACGAACCTGGTAGTGGTCATGCACCAACGTGAAGCCTTGCAGAGCAGATAGAATGAGGCGCCTTATCCCTCCTTGCTTGCAACTCAGAGTGGCACACAGAATGTCCTTGGTCAGGGAAGGGCTCTCTGCCGAGGGAACACACAGAGGAGTAGTTAGTCATCAGTCCTTCCCCAACCAGCAGCTCCTGCCCATGTCTGAAAGATTCAAAATGATACAAATCTGAAAGATTCCTAAAGCATCAACATGAACATTCAGAACATGAGAGGGAAGCTGTGCCTTTTGATTCTTAATGGGCATCATACCTTGTTTTTTCTGGGCCTAACTGAATGGATAGAAGTCCACATACCTCCTACATCCACCTGGCCTCTCCCCAGATGCTCAGGCGGTACCCATTTCCCAGGACAGCCTGGCTGTCACCTGCTATCTCAGACACAGTGCCCTCTGCCACTCCCCAAGTGCCCTGTTTAAAGGAGGAATCATGCACATGGCTGCTTTGGGGCCCCTCCTCCCAGACCATTCCCTACGGTTGCCCATGACTCTCCCCATCACCCCTCTCAGCCTGCCTGCTCAATGCCACCTGCCAGATCCGAGGGGGCCCAGCCCAGCACCAGGGCTCACTCTCAGCCCACCCCTCTGCTCTGCCCTCCATGCTGAGCACACGCCGACATTTCCATTATGTGATGCAACAGGTGGAATGGAGAGGCCTGGTTTTAGGAATCTGCCAAAGATTCACACCACATCTGTGGCCTTCAGCAGCCTCTATCCCTGCTCCACACTCAGCTCCTACAAGTGCACGGAGGTCCTTGTATACAGAGTCCTGGTGTACAGAGGTCCTGGTGCACAGGGATACTGGTGCACAGAGGTCCTTGTGCAAAAGCGTCCTGATGCACAGGGGTCCTGATACACAGGGGTCCTCGTGCACAGGGGTGCTGGTGCACAGAGGTCCTGGAGCTCAGATGTCCTGAGGTTATGCACACACTGCAGCCCAGACCTTGCAGGGACTCTGCTCTCTTCTTGTGTCATGTCACTGCAAGCACCTAGCACATGGCTTAGCACCTAGTAGATGCTTGATAAATATTTTTGTGAGTAACAAAATCTTCTTTCTTCATGTAGAGAAAAAATGCATGCTTCTTACATTATTACACTGTCTCAAAAGTTAATCTCTTTCGAACTATGTCCAGTGTAGACGACATAGAACATACCCAAGGCCATGTTTTTCAGAAGTATTCCATCTGAATGCCTCATTTGTTTCTGTTTTCTCATTTTCTTGCTGTGTCTGATTTTGAAAACAGATGTTATAAAAAGAACTTAAATTGTGTCTCTTAAGTAATCTCTTATTAAATGCACAATGAAACAAGTAGTATTATGCATCACAGCATTTATCTGTAAGGATAAATGGACCCTCTGTTTTGAAGACACGACATGTTTGGGAGTCATGTTATCCAAACCTAAAGAACAGAGAACCCACCATTACAAAGACCACCTACCACGTCATGAGACTTTAGGCAAGGATTACTCGGACCCTTCATTTCCTCTGCATAAAACGAGAAAAAGGACCAGCCTGCCCTCAAAGTCATCCCCTCAAGGCCAGACAAACGGGAGCCCATCCGGGCCATGTCCGCCCCACTCCCTGGGCCCTCTCCCAAGGGGCCTCGGGCGCCTCCGCAGCCCAGGCGCCCCCTGGCCCCTCCCACCTGCCGTCGCCGCCCTTCCCAGCTTTGGGACACCCTGGACCCCCACTGGCTTTCCAGCCCCACCTCTTCAGGGCCCCGCCCCTCTGCCTGGTCAGCTCCGGGAACCCTCCGCCTCCTCGCCAGCAGAGGGCGCTCGCTTCTTCCCTCCCGGCAGAGCAGCTCGCTCGCTCTCTGGTCCTCAGCGAGCCGGTTTGAGAAGGCAGAGGCCAAGGCAGATGACCGCCGAGGTTCCTTATGGTTCTGGAGTCCACGGAGCTGTACACCGTGTTCTCACGCTGGAGCCAGAGAAGAAAAGCAGGCGCTTTCCTCAAGGGACGCTGAACTTGATAACTACCTGACTTTCAACAGTAATAGTCGCAGATCTGACTGCTGCTCCTCCGGGTGATGAGGAGGAGACATCAGCCCGGTTAGGCCCATTCCACCCCAAATCCGTAGAAGCCAGCTCTCAGCCCTGTCCCAGCCTGTCCCTGCCCTCCTTCTCTACAGGATTCAGTGACTGTTTAATAAGGAGCCTGTAGTGACCATGACTCAGTCATGCTCGAGTCATGACATGCTTGGGTTTTCTTGAGATTAAATATAAAAATTCAAAATTAATGTTCTGTTGCTAATGTAATTTCAAGGATGCTATATTAATGTGGCAGCTGCAGTACAGAATGGCAAAATAAATATGAATTAAGGTATTAATGAATGCTTAATTCACTTAAAAGGCATTACATTCACTGATTGAGAGACATCAAGGTAATTATGTGTTCGAATGTGGCCGGGCTCCGAGCGTCAGACAAGCATCAGAATCCTGGAGGAAGCGTGATCCGCATTTTCCCAGATGTCTGTCAGCCACCTGAAGGTTTCCTAGATACCTAACGCTATTTGGCAGCACTGCTGATGTTCAAAACATCCCTAACTGGGAAAAGGGATATACTCTTTAAAAAACAAACAGACCTACATGACCAACGTGGCTCCATTTACGTTCAGACTGCGCACTGCCCCCCTGGCCCTGAACACCCCTCACCCTCCACCCTGACTCCTTTTCCAGGTTTCTCAGCCTAAGATTCCCTTGGTGCCCCTAAATTTCTATGTGTCACTGTCAAAAAGCTCGCTGTGGGCTCAGAGGTGGCTTTGACGTAGGTGTGCACGCAGACCCACCCTCCATGGCACTGTGGCCCGGACCCATCTGTCTGCCTCCCTCCCCCTACTCTTCCCAGGGCTGCGTTAAAGAGACGAGGCCCCATTCCTTTGAGGCTCAGGAGCACAAAGCAGTCGCAAGGCCCTCAGCTGGCACGTTGGCTGAGCAGGCTGTGGCGGGCCCGCCACACCTCCACACGCGGATCCACAGCTTGTGAGCGCCTGCTTTGGATCTGCACCTGCGACGCCTGGGAGAGGAAGGCCTTACCCAGTGGGATGGCATGGTTACAGCGGTTACAGGGGCCACCCCCTCACTGGCACTGCAGCCAGCAGGCCCGGCACACCAGCCTGTCCAGTTGAGCAGACTGACGCACAGTGCAAGCCCAGTGCCAGCATGCAGGCCCTACAACAGACAGAATGCCCGACATGCCCACGTGAGGGGTCAGGGGCATCCCAGACCCTGGGGCGGGTGGGTGCCCAAGGAGCCAAGCAGACGCCCCCTGCTCACCCTTCAGATTTCACAGAAAGTGCCACCACCCAGAGGGGGTCCTAAAGGCCCCTGCTCTCCTCCCAGCCCTCATTCTTCACCACGTGGCCCTATTTTAACTTCTTCTCAGCACTTGGCACGAGAATTTCTCTCATTTATTTAAGTTTGTTTTTAAAAGTACTCCACATGCTGGTTCCTGCCAGAGGCTCACTTCCTGTCCCAGCTCTCTGGGTGGGGGCTGAGCTGCACTCCTGGCTCCCAGCTCTGCGGCCCAGGCCCTCCCTCTGTGAGGTGGGTGTGCATGTGCCTCCACTGTGACCCCTGGGGCAAGCCAGCCTCTGCCCCCCACTCTGTCCTCCCAGCCCCCACATGCAAAGTGACTCCAAGTGGTACCAGGGTGCACACGGCTTAGCCGCTGGCATGTATCCAGATGTTCCCACGGGAAAAATCCGTGTGAAATCCCACAGACTGCAGTAGATAGACATGTGAGGGCATAAAGCCTCCTGGCATTCACTCACTTTTTCATTCAACAAACGTCTGTCCACCTCTCCTAGGCGCCAGTCCCCATATCCTGAGTTTATGATGACTGACAGGCCAGTCACTGGCAGACACGCACGTGCACCATCACTCCTGGGCACAGCTGTCAGGCCACGAGGCACAGTTCGGCTGCTGCAGGAGCAGGGCCACCTGATGCCAGAATGGGTAGGAAATCTGGGGCCTAGAAAACGCCTTCCAGAGAAAATGGCAGCTAATCCAAGAATAATCATCTCATCATCATCATTAAATAATCATCATCTGAGATGAGTTGGGAAGGTAGAAGAGTGTGTGGTATCTGATGAGACTGGGGATCCTGGGGGCACAAGGCCAGCCATGGCAGCTGCATGCAGGGAGGACGGTGGATGGCCCACTCAGCTGACCCCCAGCTCCTCCCTGCTCCCCTCATCTGCCCAGAGGTGAGAGTGGCTTCCCCATTCCTCCTCCCTGCTCCCCACCCACCAGGCCAATTCTGTCTCCCCAGCCTCTCCCCAGCCCCACTGGGCCAACAGCACCCAGAGGGCCCTGTGCAGCCGCGATGGGGATGATGCCTAGAGCATAGCCACATGTGTGCAAAGTACAACAGTGAAATTACTCAGGCAGTGCTGGTCCCGTCCATGGACTACAAAGTGCTACGAGGCCTAGTGCTCCCACTGCACAGAGCCCTAAATAGCCAAGGCCACCCTAGAAGGCAACAAAGGCTGCCCCTTCCACAGGGGAAGTATGCATAGTAATGCATTGTGCAAATCGGGTCTTGGTCCACAAGTTCACTTAAGCACAAATGTTTAGTTATTCATTACTGTAGACACCGTGCTGACCATTATGAAGACAGAACTGAGTAAGCGCAGATCTGCTCTCAGTGAGGTTACAGACCACTGCCAGTAAAGGGCACCAAAACCCAAGACAAAAGTGGCCTCTCCAGGCAGTGTCCTGGGAATTCAGTTTACTGCATAGACCACCCAGCCCACATCAGTGGGATGCATCTTCTGTGCCAGGCACTGGGTTTGCACAGAAAGAATGTTGAGACAGGGTTCCACCTTCAAGGAACACTGACTCTAGCAGAGAAGGGACCCATGAGATATAAGGGCATTATACTGCATTTGGTAGAGAGCCGGCCAGGGTCAAAGGAGCATGCAGCAGTCCTCCTGGAAGACACACCCCAGCTCCAGGCCATGGGGTCAGCTGGAGTTGAGGTCAGGGAGGGGGAAGCACACTTCATAACCAGGACACAGCCACCACAGCCCAGGTCAGGGAGAGGGCGGGGGCTGCTCTCCTTGGCTGGAGAGAGGTGCAGTGTGCAAATGAGGTGGGAGGCAGAGGGCCAGGGCCCCAGAGCCTCAGCAGCCAGACGAAGAGGGCTGCATTTGACTGTAAAGGACACTCAGGGTTAATCTTCCCATCGCGCCACAGCCAGACTCTGAGAATCACCAGATCAATGGCAGCATTCTTACCCAAGCAGCCCACCTGCAAAGGTGACGAGCACATGCAGAACCAGGATCTTCACTTTCTGCAGAATCGCAATGGCTTCTGGGAGCTCCAAAGGCTGCCGGAAAACCTGACACATTTCAATAACACTTAGGGAAAAACAGACAACAGCATTAAAGGGTGAAGCTCTATAGCAAGAGCATCATTTCTGCGTACAAGAGTAAGTCAGAACACACATGGGAGAACAGTCCTCCCCAAGCCATTTGCGCTGCAGAAACACACAGATGACAGAGGGTAGACCTCTGGAAAACACTAGGCCCCCTGTTTCTATTCAAAAATTCAATCATGTTGCCAATGAACCTGATATTTACTCTCTCTTTTTGTCAGTGATCTATTCTTTTGAAATGCAGAAGTAAATGATCAAAGGATGTCAAAAAGAAACAAAGGAGAGAGCCAAAGTAAAGATCCTTAGTGTTTATTTCTTCTGTATGAAGAATTATCTTCAGCAGATGAGTGCATATGTAAGATCTTTACTTCTAAACAAACCCCCAGAGAGCTGCAGTGTGTGTGTGTGTGTGTGTGTGTGTGTGTGTGTGTGTGTGTTACATGTGTGTTGGTCTTTATGGAGTCCAGTTGGCTGGTGTTGGAGTGAAATCATCAAGACCAATATTTTTAATAAGCTGCTGTTATGTCAGCCTTGAGAGTTGGTGTTTCTTTTCTATACTGTACGTTCCTGATTTAAGCTTTAACTGCCTAGCGGCTCCACCACAGAAGACCACGTCAAACACACGTCGCCAGCCGCACACCAGAGGGAGGGCCGCCTGCCCAGCCCCGGTGAGGCACCTTGTTCTAGAGATCTTGGTTGATTACCGTAACTGATTGTTAGGGCAGATTGCTTTTTCTCTTCCCACACTTGCACTTCTGGCACTTATGTTTAAATTCACCCACAACGGGTGATCTCTAGAAACCTTAGGCCCCCACCCTTCACCCCGACGCCTACCCTTCTGCTCTCTCTCCCCCTGATATTGCTGTGTGACCACGTGGGCTGTGTAATTTCCAGGGCTTGTAAATAATAAACCTTTGGTTTTCAAAGTCTCCTAATGTTGCCACTGAGGGCATCATGCAATCATAATAAAACCCTGGGGGCTGGTCCAGCCACAACACCGCTGGTCATCGAGAGGCTGACCTGACACCAAAGAGCAGCCCTTGGTCAGAACAGCTTATTCGCAGAGTTGACATCATAAAGCCACAGGTAAAAGGGCTCAGTAACTCACAGCTTTACCTTTTATTTTTTTAACCCAAAATGGCTTTCTCTCCACTCTTAGTTGAGTTTACCTTCTTTCCAAAACTCAAAATCACCCTCAAACATCAGACACAACTGAGCATATAGTAACATTACCTGTGAGACAATTTATAAAAGAAGTTGTAAAATATGTATGTGTCTATTTTGTCTATTTTTTTTTTTTTACACCGTGGGCCACATCAACTGATTACAGGTACAGTTCCCCAATGAAAGTCCCTGGGAAGGGATATCCAGTGTGGCCTGGAGATGGATTTCAAGCAAGAAGATTCATGTCGTTGCTCCTCATCACGCATCCTCTTTGCAGTCACTGCCTGTGGCTCATCTGCTCTTGAGCTCACCTTGCACAGCAACCTCGCACATCTGCAAAGATGCCTTACTCAGAGCACTGACAACCCAGCGACTTCTGGGGACCACAGCAGTGCTATTTTTTTAAGCAGTGCAATATCTTTACAGTGTCTTGTTTTAAATTTTCCCCAGGGAAAGAATGAAACTTTCTGAAGAAAGTGTTTAACTTCCAAAGTTCCACTGTGGCATTGACTACAGAGCAGAAGAGAGCAATTCTGCTTCATTAACACACCTAATGGTACCAGTACAGCCACCTCTCTAGGCAAATGTGAGTCTTCTCCAGTTGGAATACTGTTTTTATGTTTGTTGAGAGCCCAGCCCCCCCTTAAAGAATGCAGTTTTCCTGTGCCAACATGGGAATTTCAGCTCAGTGGAGCTGTGTGACCTATCAGGACAAAAGTCAGTTTAATGATTAAATGTGTCTGACCTGGGTTGCTGAGACCCTGGAGGTGAGGAGACTGTGTTGTCTGTATAGTTAGTTACACTGATTAATTGGGGATCAAAGAGATCCCGAAGTCTGACACTTCTGAAGGTAAGGCAGAATTATTCAAAATCTTCTTCAAAAACCAGATACAAGAGCAAAAGTTCACTCTAAACTATACAACAGACTAAAGGTGACTTTTTGTAGCAATAATAAAAATATAGTTGAATTTGAAAATGATTTGGGGGTGGGAAATAGTTACTACAGAGCCATGTTTCAGAACCACAGAAAGATAAACAGGTAATTTTTATATCCACCAGACAAAAAAAGTGACAGTATATAGAGCCAGTTATTAATCACCATCCAGTAATATATGCGTCAGTGAATTGTGGGATTGTAAATTCCATTTTAGTTGTACACAAACTATCACCAACCTGGAAGCAAACTAGTCATCATTTCAGAGTCTCCCTGCACAGCTGCCATGGGCTACTGTCAGCTCTCGCTCAGTAGATGTGCCCAGGTCTTGGTTTCTTAGCCTTGACCACAAAGAACATGGTCTAGACAAGCATTTGCACAAACTATAGCAGACTTGGGGAGGCCCACAACCGCGCTAAGCCTCAGGCTTTGATGGCACAGGGTGGACCCCTGCTGTCCTAACTGGCAATCAGGTGAGGCCATGGGCCCCACCACCCCACACTGAGGAGCAGAAGGCTAAATAGCAGAAGGCTACCTCAGGGGACCTCCAGGGAGGACACTGTATGTTGCCACCCACCTGACTTGAGTGGCATAATGGTTTATTAATCGGGCCCTCCCAGTGTCACAAGGCATCAGACATGAGCAAAGAACAGAGGCAAGTGACTGCCTTCTTTTTCTGACCTCCATTTCCTCTTAAATATATTGCCTCATTTTGATGGTAGATTTAGGGATGGAAAGTAGGATTCCCGTGTGGGGTGACCACACTTCTCCCCCTGAACAATTGTCAGTACTGACACAGGGGGCAGGAAAAATGGATTCTGCCTGAATTTGCTCCAGATATCTGATCTCTGCCTTCAGGGAGTCTCAACTCCAGGAACTTTGTAATATATCTTCAGAATATTCATGGAACTTTCTACATGTGGAGGTTTTTGTTTTTGTTATTACTATTTATTTTAATTTTAAGCTGATGTTTTTGCCTAGAAGTCTGTGGTTATTTTATTACTAATATTTTTCATATGTTAAACCCATGCAAAATGAATATTATCCCTGTATTGTACATAGAAAAAGGGAGACTCAGAAAGATTAAATGAGGCCTAGATCCAGAAAGTGGTGAATAGTACGGCCAAGACTCACATTAAAGTCAGGCTGCTCTGACCTCAGACCCGTGACCAATGGGATTTTCTGTTCTGGACATTTTGTATCTTCCCCATTCAAGATGTTGATGATAAAAGGATAGTGAAAACATGGAAAACAAATGAAAGCAAGTAATCACTAATGTAAGATGAAACTGGGAGCCAAGTCCAGAGATTTTAGACACTCGGGTGGGCACCCAGCCAATTCACAGCCCATCAGTTCCCAGTCTTGGGACGTGGTATAAATTCACTCCTCAAAGAGCTTTAAACATCAGATGAAAATTGGGATTGGTGGACGACATGGGTGGCCAGGACCACCTGCAGCTCAAATGAAAATTCAGAGCACAGTGTAAAGTCAAACACAGTAGAGTTGGGGTCAGAGGCCATGGGGAGATGGGGCGAGAAGCTCTGAAAGCCAGCATGCAGGCTGTGAAGCTCTTCGTGCCAGGAGATGCCATTTCAGTAACCAAGGAAATCCTTCCAACCGAATAAAAAATGATCAGATTAAAGGTGCAACAGAACTAACAGAATATGTCAAGCTCTCTGGCAGATGAGTGATTCGGAGACCTCTAGTTTCCCTGTGGGACTGAGAGAAAGAGAGGTACAGACAGGGACCATGGGCCACACAAAACAGCACAGTCGCACACAAAGAGCATGGGCTGGGACAGCTCTGAGACTGCACACCTGAGGCACAAGCACTCCGATCGAAGGTAACAGCTTCCAGAGCACAATGACCAACAGGACTGCAGCTTTTAAGAGCAGGGCTCCCTTGCCCTGCATTTCAGGGGTGGGGGTGCTGTGCTTGGAGGTGGATTAACCACCCGGTGTTGGGTTGAATCTAAACAGAGAGGAAGCCAACAAGTTGCCTGGCCCTTCGCAGTGGTTAGTTACACCTAAAGGCACAATTTTCTGGGTGAAGTGCATAAATTCCTATCTACATATTGAATAAGAGGACCCTTGGCTGCTAGACTAAGTGAATAGAAAAATCGTTTCTGTACCTAGCTTGGGACAAATGAATAGAATAAGAGGTTTTTACTTTTGAAAATAAAATTATCTACTTTGGGAAAACAGAGAATAAATTCAAATCATATTTGAATGTTAAATAACAAGTCAAATGATGAAAAGGCACTGGACTTGAATGACCGTAAGTTGAAGTAACTTCCAAGTCTAACAGAAATTGAAGGGGGGACTACTTACCCTGGTTCAGGGTGATTCCTGCTTGGGTCTGTTTTACAGTTACTGCAGTGGGAAAATGAAATGAGTTAGGTGTTTTATTACCTTTGATCTGTCAGCGGGACCTTCTGCCAGTATTCCGTCAATGCAAGTAATCCCCTCAGATATTTCTCGAAATATGATACTGGTTTGAGGATGGAAGGAAAATCGATCACCTCTTTCTTGGTCCTCTCCTCTTTTCCTGATGTGATATTCTTTCCAGCATTAATAAAAATCTCAAAAATGGACTGAAACAGAGTTCTTGTGGAATTAATCCACAGAGAGTTGCTTAGGAGAAGCTCTTTCCTCAGGAGAGCTATTCTCCTTAAGATAATCTGGATTGCTGCATCCATTTGCTGACGAGTCTCATTCTGAATCCAAGAGGGGTTGAGAAACAAAGCTTCACTCAAACCACTTGCATGGTCACTTTTCATTCCCCTGGAGCCTTCTACAACTGTTTTTATGACTTTCAAGAGATTTTTTGGATGCTGAGAAAATGTCAGCAAAGGATTAAAAGAATTCCAGTCACCCTTCTCCAATCTATTCCAAAGAGCTTCTAAGGTGAGATCAAGCACTATCCTCAAGTAAGTCCCTATTTCTGTGCTGTTTTGGGATAGTATTTCATCCAAAAATAAGATCACTTGATGAGTTCTTTCCCATTTTGTATCTTGAGGGAAACTGTGAGTGGACACAGGTTTAGGATGTAAGAAGTCTATCTGGTTGATGATGTTATTTATAGGAATAAAGCAATTGAGGATTTCTTCCCCTAAGTTGACAGAATCCGTAGAAAATATCTGAGACCCATTATTAAGTGCTACCACAAGATGCTCCATGTCTCCCAAATTGATTTTCACAGAAGTTAAAAAAACAGCAATTTCTTTCAAAATATCAGAAAAGTCCTTGGACTGGTTCACATATGCAAATATGCTAGATGACATATTGGAAATATCAGAGTCTTGTGAAATATTAGGCTTGACCCCAATCATCCCAAAAGCCAAGTCAAGAAATGGTGTCAGCAAGTCATTTATATTTTCAAATATTAAATGAGGTATTTTTTTCAAAGTAATTATTTCATGCACAACCTGTTGAACATTTTGTTGCAAAATAGAATAGAGACTGTCAAAGAATTTCACAGTATCATTGGTCTTAGAGATAAAATGAGTTTCAAAACTATGGGCCATCTTCCTGGAAGCTTTCTTGGCTAATTTAAGAAGTGCCACAGTGGAATTTACTGAGGTGGCCAGGTCTCCCATTTCAGCAGTGCCCCTTACCAGCATGATCAGAGTATTAGACATTTCCAAGAGTGGTTCCAGGACATGACTTTCTCCACCTTTTTCAGCTCTTGAGATGACACCAAGAAATCCCTTGGTAATTTCTAATGTTGCTCTGCTTCTTAAAGGGAATGAATTAGTTACGAAGGAAAGCAAATGGGTTAGATGAGCAAGTATAACTTCTTGGAGTGTAGGATATAAGTTCCGAAAGTCCTTATTTGGAGAGTTTAAAAGAGCATCCATAAGACTTGATGTCTCTGTTGAAGTTTCTTGCACAAGGTGAAGGGCTGACCTAAGATCTTGACTGAGTTTGAAGATATTCTCAGAACTATTCATATGGAAAAGCAACTGGCTCACCACCTTGAGAAATTCAAAATTATTTTCATTCCTATTTTCCATTGGCATTTCCCATAGAAGAGCATTAAATAAATCACCCATGAACTTCAGTCCTTGGTGATTTTCAAAATAAAATTTCCCATTCTCTAATACAAATGAGCTTTTGATTAAATGATACAGACTCTCCTTTAAACTTGAAAAAATGCCCATCAACCGGTCTTCTTTTGTGGAGTTAAGAAGTTGATTCAGTTTCAGGATTTCTGGGATTTCATCCTTTGGGACAAAACTATAAATATGTTTTTTAATTTCATGTTTAGCAATGGAAAGATCACAACACACAGTGACATTTTTGTTTGCAGTAGCATCATGGGAGGACGATATTGACTGAAAGATGGCATGCTAACATATATTTCCATGAAAATTAGTATTTTGTTGCCAAATAACGAAAAGAGTGGAGGAATTCCATATATGATCCCATTGCAATGCCTCAAACCTACAACTTCAAAGCCACATACTTCTGCTTCTAGAAAAGAATGTGAACTCCACATAAAGTGGTTCTCAGTGTAAGAAGTATGTCTTCCTGGCTGTTCAGAGCCCTAGCAAACCACCTAGACACCTGATGGATCTGTGATGTGCAGTTGGTTAGCGGGGTGCAACAGCCCCAGAATCCCGTTCTCACATGCTTCTGGTTTGGGTGGGCTGCACAGTTGATACCCTCATAGGAAAGAGGAGTATGGAAGAAAGTAGCTGTTTTGTAACATAAACACTAACTAGGTGCTGCTGGGAAGGGATTTTGTAGATGTCATTAAAATCTCTGATCAATAAACTTTAAGTTAGTAAGAAGGGATATTGTCCTGACATATATCAGGGTGGGCCTGACATAATCAGTTGGAAGGCCTTCAGAGAGGGTGCAGGCCTTCCCTGACCCAGCGACACCCACATAGCATCTGGGTACACAACTGCCCTCTTTCCCCCATTGTCCTCCCTGGCCACCACCTGTGGATGGCCAGCTCATGCCCATGGCACTCCAGCCTGCCCTGCTGACTTTGCACCTGCTTAGCCAGCCCCCAGAACTATGGACACCAATCCCTTGTATGAAATTCTTGCTCTGATTCTACATCAGTGGTTGAGCCTCAACCGACACAGACATCATAGAGTAAGTTGGAATTTCCCTCCAGCCTTTTCACTGGCAAACTTCAGTCCTTGGTGATTATCAAAATAAATTTTCCCATCCTCTAATACAAATGAGCTTTTGATTAAATGATACAGACTCTCCTTTAAACTTGAGAAAATGCCCATCAATCTGTCTTCTTTTGTGGAATTAAGAAGTTGATTCAGTTTCAGGATTTCTGGGATTTCATCCTTTGGCACAAAACTATAAATATATGTTTTTTAATTTCATGTTTAGCAATGGAAAGATCACAACACACAGTGATATATCAGGGTGGGCCTGACATAATCAGTTGGAAGGCCTTCAGGGAGGGTGTAGGACAAACTTCAGTTTGCCAGGATGAAAAAAAACATAACGTGACTACCACTTTTAAAATCTTGGAATCGAATCAATTCCAAATACAAACATCATAGTAAATTACTTGGAATGAAAATAGTTAAACCCCTCATTTGTGATTAGACAGTTAATACATTAACTCAAATTATGACCATGGTATATATGCCTATAAATGTATAAAAAACTGATTTTTAAGTTCCATCTAAAATAGAATTTCATAATTATTTTCATAACCAGCAATGTAAGAAAGCACAATAAGTGATTAAGTGCCTGGCACTTGGTTTATATACATGTTTACTAGTTAGAGGACAATCGTCAAAATTATTTTACCTTGGTATTTTAATAAAATTTTCATTAAGACAAAATTCATTTCAAAGATCATTTCAAAGGTGTTAGGTACTAATGCAGCTATTGATGTTTATATACCCCAGGAAATAAAGTAGATTGTAATGTGTGATGACTGCATGTAAATATAAAACAAAGGTGGACTCACCTCATCCCTGCAATGATGTCTTTGTGGGAGTCTTTTAGCAGAAGAGAGATTTTGTTCTCAGAATTTCCCTTTAGTGAAAAAGAGAAGAATTTTTTCAAAAGCCACTGCATGAAGTCCATTATGTTTCTCGGAGGGAAATTTATTCCATCACCATCCTCAGACTCAGTGTGGTTCAAGGTGAGGTTCACGAAATTCATTACCTGAAGGTCAGTATCACTTAAATTCAAGGCTGCCTCTTGAGAACTCCTAGCTAAGTTATTGACTGAATTAATTAGGAGGCTTTCCAAAAGTAACCAAATAACTGAGAAATTAGTTAGCTGTACTTGGTTTGGCAGATGATTAAGTAGGGAAACATCGAAATTATCTTCTAGAGAAACGTTTTTGAGATAATCCAAAAAGTTAGTAATATCTTTAGTCAATATATCATCAGATGAACTCTCGTGGACCATAGGAAGAAATCTTTGTATTATTCTGGAGTAATCTTCATTTGCATGTTTATTAAGCCAGTTTTTTACAACCAATAGAAAATCCTCAATAATTTCTAATGTCTTCATTGATGATGAATCCAGGCTTTCCAAAAAGCGGCCAGATTGCAAAATTATGTTTTGAAGAGCCATGGAATAAATTATTTGAATGTCTTTGTTAATTTCAGAAAACAGGGCTCTGATACTAACGTCATGGGTTAGATAGTTCATGATTTGCTCAAACTCAAGCCATAGTTCTTCAAAATTATAAGTTGCTTCACTTTTTTTAATAAAACTTAATAATGCTTCTACACTACTACCTGTCAGATTTGCATTCAGAAACATCCCAAATGGAGAGATTAGTGAATGAGTACTATTTTCTAGACTCTGATCCCCAAAAAGCAATTTCATTATCCTTTCCAAACTTGAGGAAACATGCTGAACAGATGCCTCTGTGTCTTCATTAATGTTAAGGATCTTGTTTAAACTGGACAGCTTCTCAAGAATGCTTTCATCTGATGTAACTTTTGTAAAGTTGACGTTTTTTAATGTTTCTATGATTTGCAAAGCAACTTGTTTTATGGGGCCACCAGGACAAAGTTCAGAGATGTTGCCATTGCTTTGACTTCCAGAAGACAAGCCAAATGGTAGCACCTTATGCCAGAATTCTTGCACAGTTTCTACAAGCGAAGTGTTCATGTGGAGGACTTCAGACAACTCTAGAAGAATGGAACTACAGTCCACTAACTCATGAATGGCACAGACCATTCTCCTTGTTATTTCCATCTGTGAGCTTTCATTTGAACATTGTGCAACATCGCCTGGGGGAGACATGTGGAGGTGGTCAAGTATACTGGCCACTTTGCTATAAAAAGCAGAAGACATGAGCTCATGGGCCTTACAGGTTTCAAACTTTGGATTCTGCTCAAATCCAGAAGTTGTGTGATTCCAGCACCAAACTACAGGAAGACAAGTTAAAGCCTCTGAAAGAATTCCTGGTTTATCAGATATTAATTCAATTGTCTCCAAAAGAGTTTTTATGACAATAGCAAAGTCCTGCTTGGTGACATTTGAAATGCTTATGCCATGGAGGAGTGTGAGGTTATAGATGTCCTTGAGGATTTCTGTGATATTTTTGCCAACTACTTTCCGCAGGAGCCTCATGGCGTGAGGAAGTGTGTAGTACATATCTACAACAGCATTGACATCATCTTTAGGAAACAGGCGTGAGAGTTTCAGCAGATGATTGACATTCCAGGAATGTGAGCTGTCTACAAATGTTTCCATCAAGTCAACAAGCAAATTGACTCCCAGATCACCAGGACCTAATCTACTGATATTCTTGATGAAATCCTTTAGGCTTTCACTAATGTGCTCAAGTTGATATTCTAGCAGACGTATGTCTGGGTTCTTGAGAGTATGCAAGAAAGAAGTCACCTTCTTTAAAATGTGGCTCTTACCTGGATCTTGTGGCATATAATGGTGAACCGAGGGCATCAGGGAGTTGAACACATCCCTAAGCACTTGGATACCAAAACCTGCAGCTTGTATTATTTCATGTGGAATTATTTTTCTTGAATTTTGGAGTACGTGAGATAAATTGAGGACAAGGTAACGAACCAAATGATAAAATGAATTTCCTAAACTCTTTATATCCTTTTCATTTGCACTGGCAGCAAATACATTTAAAAACTTTTCAGTTTTAGAAGAGGAGTTACCTTCCAAGATGTTAGAGGACATATCTTTCATAAATTTTTGAATTTCCTTCCCCAAAGCTACTAAATGCAGCCAAATATTTTGAAACTGGCTAGGAATTTCACCTGACATTTCCATGGAGCTTAGAACTAATTCGGCAAAATGTTTCCAGTTGGACTGAGATGCAAAATCAAAGTCTTTTGTTAAGTTGTTGATAATCATCCTTACTTGGTCTGTGGAATCATTTAAAAGAGTCAAGAAAACTCCAAATGTTGGTACCTTTTCCCTTTCAAAACCAGCAGTAAGTATAACATTTAGAAACTCAGTTATGTGTTTCAAGTTAATATTCACACAATTTATATTTGACTGATTCAAAGAACAAGGAGTTTCCTTTATATTTAAAATCCAGGTAATAAGCTTCAGTGTAGAGTTGATTCTGTCTTCCACATCTCTGAAACTCCTCAAAATGCCCTGAAAAGGGCCTTGATAAAAAGTGGAGTTGGACACTGCGTACAGATGGTTTATGGCATCTACCAATGTGATGCATCCTTTTAGTCTGCTAATTGCATCCTCAGAGGAAAATGTATAATTTAACATGGCCAGAATATGTAATGTCCTCTGTGAAGTATTTACATGTAATAAGCCATCTTCCAAAATAAACTCGGTGACATTTTGGAAAAAACTAGCACAAGACACTAAGTCTTGGTCATGTGACACATTTCTAAGAAACAGTATTGTTTCTCTTAGCTCACTGATGACACTCTCGAACTTTCCTCCCTCATTTGTGAGGTTTTTTGAAAGAAAGTGATTGATCCAATGTACAATTCTATCTGTATATTCTGAGGCATTGCTTAACTTGATGAAAACATCAAGCAGAGAATATAAAAACTCTCTGCTTGTATTTGTGTTTGCTGGAAATGCTGTTAGCTGTTGCAGGGCAGTTTCCATGGTGAAGAGGGATTCCTCTACTTGGTCCGGGTTAAGCAACTTAACTCTCATGAATGCATCCCAGAGATCCCTGAGATTCAGAAAATCATCCAAATCGTGGATGCCATCAGCTTGAGTCATGTTTTTAAACAAATTTAATATGAATCCAGCAGGATGATGGGTGGGAAATATTCCCTGGCAGCTTTTAGGAATTTTCACATCACTTTCCAATTCATCCAAAAGCTGATGTAGACCAACACGAAGAGGAGGAAAAACATTCATGTCAACTTTGAGTATTTGAGATATGCTTCCACAGATTTCAGCCCATATTTGAAGCCATGAAATGGTACAGTGAACAGCCGTGAACTCATTGAACACGTTGCCATCTGCAGAGAGATTTGAAAGAAACTGTGCCCACAGAAGAATAGACGAAGACCTTCCATCTGTTGAATGATTCACAGAATGAATGCTTTTATTAACCAAAGGAAAGCATTCACTGCCCAGCAGGCTTTCTACTGATCCATTGAAGAGTTGGCTCACATATTGAAATAAAGAAATACGAAAATCTTCATCTACTATGAGCAGCTGCTTGAGACCCATCAAAGTAGTATGGATCACTTCCAGGGCTGAGCCCTCTGTAGATGTCAGGGATTGAGCTTGATGCTCCAAAAAGTTAAAAATTGAAATCAGTTGCTGACAATAGGATACCTCAGCCAGTCCCTGAAGAAGCCCTGCTGTCTCATATAAAAATGCAAATGATTTACTGATGTTTTGGAAATTAAATTGCTTTGTGATATCCAAAACGTGCTTTGAAGTTTGTGTAAGGAAAGATAGCAAAGACTCTCTACTATGAATGCTCAAGAATTTATAAATATATTGAAGATAGGCAGAATAGATCTGCAAAAGTAAAGCTGAATCTTTATTCTTGAAGACATTTAGATACAGATGAGTCAAAATTTTATCCACTTCTTGTTTTTGAGTTTCGGAAAGAGCTGAGAAAAGATCATATGCATTCCGTATAGCATAGACTGTGTCCAGAGCTCCTGAGGCTTGATCCTGCCTCAGAAATCCAAATTCACAGAGACTGTTTATTATAGTTTCACTTAAATATACAAAATCCATTTTCACAGTTGATGGTTTGGGCCAGTCTGAATGGAACAACTGGGAAAAGTTAAAGCTTTTACTAAGAACCCTCTTGTCTTCTGGAAGAGACAAATTTAGAAGTGTAGACAAGGTTTCCAGTTTAGATCTTTCTTCTTCTGAAATGCCATACATCCACAATTCCTGTAGCTTGGGATTAATTTCAGAAAGTATTAATTCCATAAATCTCAAAATATCTCTTGATTCCTTCCTTATCCAGAAACCTTCCAGAGTTGGCATGTTTTCAATCATCTCTTTGCCAAATTCCCCAAGTTTCTGAGTATCAGTAGAAGATGGGTCTCTTTCTAAACCATTTAAGTGATTTATCCACAAACCACTTTTATTCAGAATAATGTCAGTGAGAGATGCAAGGTTATAGACTTTGGAAGTACCAGTTGCATCTAAAGGATTAGGCAATAGTAACTGCTCCAAAAATTCCACAAATGATAAAAGAAAGGTCACTTGCCCATCCTCAAGGACATGAAACTTCTTTTCCACCATTAGAAGTTCTTTTGTGGAATTTAAAACCCTACAATATCAACAGAATTGCTTTAGTATCAGAAAAAAATAGTAAGTAAACTTAAGACAAGTTCTATTTATCAAATTTTCAAAGTGATATCAAGACTTATTTAGAGTAAAGCCTAAAAGAATATTCACTAGACAATATATTTCCCAACAGAAATTAATGTCAACATTTCAAAGTATTTCAGAAGCCTGCCATGCAGATACATATATTTAGCTTAAAATTTGCTTCCTGAACCAAAAATAATGCATTTTAAATTACTTTAAATTACTAGAGAGGCAAGTCCAAACTGTGGGGCTAGTCAGACGCTGTGACTAAAGGCCAGTGGGTAGAATTCCCTGTTCTAAGCAATTCCAGCACTCATGAAACTTAATGCTGTATTTCCCACTCTTAGAAACCTCCTGTTTTAGATGGTGTGCTTTCTCCAGGTGTTTATTTTTAAAACACAATGGGTTCACAAAAGAGCACCTCAGGAATTATGGTGAATCCACCCTTGTAAAAGAAGTCCTCTCTTGGAGAAGGGACTGACTTCTACTAACTCAGCAGCTATAAATCCCCTTTTTAAATCCTGGAGGCCTCCTGTTTTAGAGTTTAGCAAGAGGGCATGGGCATGTATGAGGCATGTATCAATGGTCCCTCCAACTGGAGCCCCAGGAAGCCCCTCCCAACTAACATTAACACTTCCACAGTGACCCCTGAACATGGGCTCAGTGTGTGCGGTGAACAGACTCATTAACATGTAAGTCTCTGCAGAGTGAATTATGGTGCCAACCACAAGGAAAACTTCATTCTTCAGTCTTGTTAAGATTTCAGAGTTGTGGATAAGGGATTTTGACTTGTACTAGCTATCAATGCCTTAAAGGATGAACTCCTTTCTACATTTATCTCTGTGATCCTGTTGTGTCACACCATCTGGCACAGAACAGATAGAGGATGGATCAAATGCAAGAATGGTGTTTTCCTCTCTGAGAGTATGAAAAATACAGGCTAAATTGAGTCTATTATTATTTGTAGGACAGAGAGTACCTTCTTTGAACCAGGGAACACTGAAAATATTTCCTGGGAAAATTTTCCGTTAGGAAACAGACCACTTTACTTTTAGGGACAGAATGTGAATTTGCTCAAATCCAGCCCCACATGGAAATATATGCACAACTATTATGCAAGTAGTCATGGATTGATAGAGTAAAAAAGAATAAAACTCTTTCTTAATTGAAGTGTTGTTGACATACAATATGGGACTGGTTTCAGGTGCACAAAAGAAGTACTCACCATAGTAAGTCTGGGCACCATCTGTCAGCGTACAAAGTTATTACAATACCATTGACTGTATTCCCTACACTATACTTTTCATCCCTATGACTCTTTCGTTTTATATCTTGTTTTGTATTGGGAATTGAGAAGTCCTGGAATAGTAATAGTAGCCTTAGTAACAGGTGAAGTAAAACTAATACTACTAGTAGTAATATTGCCACATTTTTATATCACACTACAATTTATCAACTTTCACAAAAATAATCTTAGTTCATTTCTACAACAGCCTTTGAGGTGCACATGACTACTGCCATTTCATAGGAAAAGAAATGTTTCAAACATTTTTTTTAATTAGAAAACTATTACACAGCAGGAATGGGACAGGGCCCAGGTTTCTCAATTCCAGCTCGGCTTTCTTAATATTAATCAAGCTTGATGCCCAATTTCATTCATTCATTCAGTAAGTCCCCATCTAGTATCTAAGCATCTATCATGACAGATACTGTGCCAGCTGTGATGGGCTTATAAATATAAAGGTAAACATGCCCTCAGGGTATATTTAGGCTAATTTTGCAGCTGTCTTTCTAGGACTATCAAATATTTGAGACTCTGAAAAGTAAATTATTACAAATCCAGCAGGATCAAGGGACTAATTTCCAGAGGCCCATCCTATTCTCTTTCTCCTGTGCCCACTAATATCTGAACTTAAAAAGTTTCACTAAGAGTGATTAAATCCAAGATCTAGACTGATGTTGCAGAATGGCTCTCAAATGCAACCACCTGTGAAATTTGTTACATCTACAGAAACCTGGGTGCTGCACATAGACAAGATTTAGCATGTCTGGGGCAAGGTCCACACATTTGTGTTTTTAGCAAACTTCACAGTTACATTTGAGAGCTACTGCTCTAATGCCAAGCTCTGGTCCACCATGTCTAACACACCCCACAAACAACAAAGAGTGCTTTTATTCTGTGCACAATATCCACAATTATACATTGAAAATTTCCATGTCAAACATGTTCTAAAACAGCACAGCTGTATATAACCCTGCAGACTGAGTTACAAAGATCACTTCTCTCCCAAAGGTTTCCAGAAGTACCAGAATCTTAAATCATTGTTCCCATTTCTAAACTCTAAGCTACTAGATAAGGCTATTTTTCAAAGAAAGATGTTATTTTTGGAGTATCGGTTATAAATCATGCTTCTGAATCTTATTACTATAATCTGTATTTCTTTTCAACATCCATGGGAGCATGAGTTATACATTTTATGAAACAAATATTTATTGAACACTAACATGAAACACTGTGTCAATAGCTAAAGCAGGATCTCACATTTTAAAGCAAGTGTTATCCTATGACTAGGTTTTGCTTATCCTCAGATGAGAGTTTAATCAAGACCTGAAAGTTGAATTCTGAAAACTTGCCTGGATATGGATGCTTTGGGAGACTTGAAGAAGTTCTCAAAAAACTCAAAATAATTATCAATGATGACTTTCCAATCCATGTGTTCTTCATAACACGGAGATTCCTCTGAGAAAGCTAAATAGAAAGCATTTTGTATGTTGAATTCAAGTTGGACATAACAGTCAAATCTAGCCAAGGGAAACACTACAGCATGTTTCACTTGAAAATATAACAAAAGGGGATAAGAAATACTTCTGACTTGACTTTCACTTCTGGTCAAGATGAAATACGACTGGCCATTGAGCAATGCAGGACAGTGATCCATGAAAGATGGAACATACACCAGGTGAGGCCCACAATTATCTTGCTTGCTGCCCAGGGAGAGCGCCCAGGCCATGACACAGGATAAGGAGCTGGGCTGCAGCCTGTGGCCATCCTGAGCTGAGAGGACAGAGGTTAGTCAGAAAGACAGCAAGGGCAGTGGGCAGGAGGGGGGCGGTACCTGGGAAAAAGAACCAGAAAGAGACAGCTGCACAGAGGGAGCATCTGCTGTATGCCTCTTTCAGGCATTCAGTTGGGAACAAGTCAATACAAGCATGTGGGGAAGCTACCTGAGATCAGGGAAGGATCCACCCAGACAGATTCCAGATCAGCAACCACAGATGACTCAGGGCCAGGAATGATCTGTTTCCATTAACCCAACTGGGACAATCTACAGTTCTTTGAACATTGAGTAGTAGATGCACAAATGGTCTTTCCTCAGTAGTGGGGATATTTGCAACCACACTGAGCACATAGCATAGTCACATTGGTATTCACAGGATACCCGCCCAACGTCAGCACCGTATAAATTCTCCTCAAGTGCACGTGGAACATTCACCAAGGCAGACCACATTCTAGGCCATAAAATAAGGCTCAGTAAATTTAACTGGATTAAAGTCATGTAAAGAATGCTCACTGAACTAAATTAGAAATCATTAACAGGAATATATCTGGAAAATCCCAAATATTTGGATACTAAATAACACACTTCTAAAGAACTCATGGGTCAACAAAGAAATAAAAAGAAAATTAGAAAGTACTTTAAAACTGAATGAAAATGAAAGCACAATATGCCAATATTTGTGGGATGCCATTAAAAAAAGTACTCAGGGAGACATTTATACCATTAAACACCTACAGTGGAAAAGGACGAAAGTGTCAAATCAATCGTATTCCTCAACTTCCATGTTAAGAAACTAGAAATGAAGTCATTTAAATCCAAATTAAGTAGCAGAATGAAAATGATAAAAATCAAAGTAGAAGATAAGGAACTAGAAAAAAGAAAAACATTCAAGAAAAATTAATAAAACTGAAAGCCATCTCTTTGAGATCAATAGCACTGATAAACCTCTAGGCAAAGTGATCAAGAGAAAAGAAAGCCACAGAGAACTGATGTCCAGCATGACAGAAACATCTGTGATGTGACTACAGATTTTGTAATAAAGAGAGAATAATAATGGAATACTGTGGAAGACATTATGACATTAAACTGGACAATTCAGATGAAAAAGACAAATTCCTAGAAAGACACAGTCTATCAAAGCTTACTCAAGAATAAACGGATCACCTGAATAGCCCCCTATCTATTAAAGAAATTGACCTTGTAGTTAAAAATCTTCCCATGAAGAAAGCTGAAGCCTCAGATGACTTCATCAGTGAATCCTACCAAATGTTTAAGGAAGAAATAATACCAATTCTACAATACAAACTCTCTCAGAAAATTGAAAGGGAGTGAATATATCTCAACCCATTCTAGGAGACCAGGATTACCCTGATACCACAATAAAACAACGATATTAAAAGAAAAGAAAACTACAGTCCAATATCCCTCATAGAACAAATGGAAAATATTAAACCAAAGGTTACCAAGTTGAATCCAATAGTATCTTACCAGCTGGGGTTTATCCCAGTTATGCAAGTTTGGTTTAACATTCAGTATAACCTAAAACATTATATTGAAGTACAACATGTCAATAGCTTTAAAAATATTAAATTCTTGGGGATAAATCTAACAAAAGATGTGAAATAATCCTACAATGAAAACTACAAGAAGTCATGATAAGAAAATAAAGAAGACATAAATAAATGGAGATATGTTCATGAGTTAGAAGACTCAATATAGTAAAAGGTCATTCCCTCTAAATTTATATATAGACTCAATTCAGTCCTGGTTAAAATTCCAGCAGTATTCTGAGAAATTGATGAGCAGATGCTAAAATTCATACAGAAATGCAAATGACCTAGGATCACTAAAATAATCTTTTTTAAAAAAAGAACAAAGTGAGAAGATTAACACTGCCTGACTTTAAGACTTATTATAATCAGGATCATGTAATATTGGTGTAAAGATAGATGAACAGGTCACTGGTACAGAATAAACAGTGCAAGAAAATACCCATGTATTTGGACAATTCACTTAACAGAAATACAAAATAATTCAATGGAGAAAGGATAATCCTCACAACAAATTTTTCTGGACAATCATATCTCTATATGCAAAAAATAAAATTCAATGTTCACCTACATCTTATAAAAAAATTAATTCAGAATGCATCATAGACCTAATTTAAAACCTAAAGCTATTAACCTTCTAGAAGAAAACAGGAGAAAATCTTTGTGGCTTGAGAGTTAGCAGACTTCTTAGCTATAATACCAAAATCATGATCCACTGGGAAAAAAAGTAAAATAGATACATACGTCTTGGTCAAAATTAAAATGTCTCCTGGATGACACTGTGAAGAAGAATGGAAAGATAACCTAGAGGAAATATTTGCAGATCGGATATCTGATAAAGGACTTGTATCTTTCATTTACAAGGAACTTTCATACTCAACTAATAAACACACAACCCAATTTAAAAAGTGTGGAGAAGATTTGAATAGAGAATTCATGACTAAAGATATCCAGAGGGCATAGAAGCGCATGAAAAGATAGATGTACAAAATCATTACTCATAAATGCAAATTAAATCCATAATGAGACACTACTACACACATGTTAGAATGGCTAAATTGTTTATACTGACCATACCAAGTGTCGACGAGGATGTGGAGGGGTCAGAGCTCTCATATGGTGCTGGTGGGGATGTGAAATGGCATGGCTTTGCAAAACACTTGGTCAGCTTCTTAAAACACTACACATGCACATACCATGTAATCAAGCCAGTTTACTTCTGAAGAAAGGAAAGCATTATTTCCATGCAAGAATTGTACATAAATGTTCACAGCAGCTCTGCTTGCAACAGCCAAACACAAGGAATGACTCCATTTTAAATGGTACAAATGGACAACCGGAATCCCTCTGTGCAGTGAACTATTCCTCAGCAACAAAAAGGAACTGGCATGCTACTGTGTGAATAAAGCCTGCGTAATTAATTCTAATGAACTATGATAAGTAAAAGATGTCAGACAAAAAAGAGTACGTTCTGCATAATTCCATGTACACAAACTTCTAGCAAATGAAAACACATGGACAGTGTTGGAAGCAGATGAGGGGCTGGCTGTCTGGGGCCAGGAGCAGGGGCAGTAGGGGAGAGTACACAGGAGCAGGGGGACTTTGGGGAGGTACAGGTATGTTCACTCTCTCCACTGTCATGATGGCTTCATGTATCTTTTCACATGTCAAAACTTAACAAACTGTGCACTTCAAATATGCGGGACGTGTTGTGTGTCAATTATATTTCAATAAAGCTAGGTCTTTTTTAAAGCAAGAAATCCTTCTAATTTGAAGCAAGTAACAGAGCCTAACACATATTTCAGAGAGAAAATTACATAAAACTTGCATCCTTTATGCTTTAGTGAGCTCTCATGGAAATACACTGGTTTTCATACATGCATAATTTTGTAAATGTTTACAAGGAAAAAATGTGGTAACAGCTTGAAAATTAGCACAGGTGCATGTGAGTAATATCAGATTTTTTCTAAATAAAAGGTTAAAGCTCCCAGAAAACCAGGCCTTACTGAATAACTATTAAACAAAAGGAGAAAACATAACCCACCGTGGTAAATTCCCTGGCTATTGTTTGTGATGCATTACATATCTGGCAATCTTCTCTGTGGGGAATAAAAGGAACAGGTATCTATTGCTCTTGCCAAGCACTATGTGAGGCACTTTACATATATTATCCGACTTAGTCCTCATCAGAGCCCCATAAAGTTGGCCATTCAATTTCTGTCTTATCAGGCAGAGGACTGATTACAATGAACCCATGACCGCTCAGTAAATCTATGTCAAAAGCAAAGTTCACTCCCCAGTCCATCTGCTTCCAGACTGATGCCAAAATGCCAAACTGAGTCCACACATTATCTGCATGATAAAACTGCATTGCAGAGTTTAAATAACTATGGCAGAATACATTTGTTTGAACTCTTAATTAGTGTCTTTATTGGACCACAATCTTACCATGTGCTGTTGCTTTTGTTTTGTTTTTTAAAGGAGAAAAGGAATTTACAGAATGTATAACACAGCACCGGGTGCGTACCCACAGCCTTGCTCTGTTGCTATTCATGTAAACCAAAGCTTCCCAAGCTTTGATGCGCTTACAGACCACCTAGGAGTCTTCTTCAAATGCTCGTTAAGCTTTGGTAGGTCTGAGACAGGTAAGGCTCTGTATTACTAGCAAGCTCCCAGCTGCCGCTGCTGGTCCCGAAGTCACACTTTAAGGAGCAAGGATGAAAGTGAGACATCAGGTGTCATCTGATAAAGGCAACAAGAATGAAAAAAGGCACAGAGTCTACTAATTTGCCTCGGTTATTATTCATCTTGCCTATATTTCCATACGACTATCAAAATTGTTTTACAGTGCACTCATTACCAAAGCTTCAATACTTCAGTCAGTTAACTTGAGAAACAATTATGAATCTCCCAAGATGGAAAGGGCGATACCATGTAAATTTTTGTATACTTCTCTCATGTTTTCTACCTGAAGATTTCTCCTCACTTTCCAAGTCCTGGTGCAAACAACTCAAGCCGTTACCCCCTCTGTGAACCAAGGTTCTTTGATGATACCCCATCTCTAGATTGTCCATCCCCCACCAACCAGGACCCATCAAGGTCTAATGTTAGAGTAGGCAGTTGGTTAAACATAAGCAAAAGAAAAGCACCCATCACCAAGGAGGACTCCTCTCTGGCCAACCCCTGAGCCCTCCTTAATTCCCAGTTTCACAGTCAAGGACACCTAGCTTATCAGGAGGCCCAGACCATCAAGGACACCTAGATTGTCAAGAGGTCCAGGACCACAGAAGCTTCCCTGATTACAGGGCATATGCAAAGTACAAAGACTTTGTCAGAAAGTAACCCCACCTCAATAAAATAACATCTAAATCTAATACGTATTGTGATTTGGGCCCTTCTGTTGACTTCACTTATGGGTAAGGTGCCTGCACTGAGCAAAAGTTTATATAACCTAGAATTGTCAATCAAAGACATAAAATGCAGGGCAAGACCTCCTGCCACCTTAAGGAAAAGTAAAAGCCAACCTAATAGCAGGGCTGCTTCTAGTTTTCAGACAGGCTGCTCTCCACCCTTCTTGAGAGTGTACTTAGCTTTACTTAATAAAGTTTAAAACTTTCCTAAGCCTGTCTCTTGACTGAATTCCTTCTTTCAAGAAGACAAGAATCATAGAAACACAACACGTTTTGCCGATAACACTAGGATCTCCAGTTATAAGTGACCTTCATCCTGATAACAACTGAGCTTCCTTTATGGCAGTATTTCCAGAATCTCTCCTCTGGTTTTAGTTCATCTGCATATCAATAGGTGTTTCCAAGGAGTGCAGAGAATTAGTCTATCTACATATCAATAGGTAATCACAAGGGCATGCAAGGGTTTATCTGGACCCTAGAGGTTGGGTGGAGCTCTCTGCTATTCTGCTGCAGCCTGGTCAGGAGAGAGATGGGGCAACTGCTTGTAAGAAATAAATGGGTTTCTTAATTTTATTTCTCCCTTTGACTGATTTCAGTTTTAGAGGTATTTTGCCCCAGGATTTTCCTCAACACCACATGCTGTTGGCAGGAATTTGGAGAACTCTGTTTTGCAGATTTGAGGCAAATGGACCCACCCAAAAGGAAAGATGGACGTCCCCTCATGGAGGAGCCGGGGTATGCCTGATGACACTAGAGAGAAAGAAGCCCTCCAGCTGAGAAGCCACCATGTGCTTGCTATGCTTGCTATTAGTGTTTCTGAGCCTCATTTTTACATATGAAGAAACAGCCAAGGCTCATCAGATGATGGGAAGTTTCCACAGAAAACACAGAGATAACCACAAACAAAAAAAAGCAAAATCTCAGAAGAAATAGAAAATGCTGGCACAGATTTTTTTTAAAAAGTGGCTCAGAGTGGTAGAAGATGATTCAACAAGAGCAGAGTCATTTTTAATGAATCTCTTCAGAACAGCAAAGTTCTTAGAAATTTAAAATGTGATAAAAAAATTTTAATTAAATAGAAGCTTTTTAAAATGAAATTGAGAAAATATCCCAGAAAATTGAAAAGAAAGTCAAGAAAGGGGAAAAAATGGGAAACAAAGTAGGGTGCCAACATAGTCAATAAATAAAAGCTAACTATACAAAAATCAGAAATCAGTAGGACAGGCATAGTATTTGAAAATGACAAGGTCAGAGGGCTGAGCTGCATGAGGCTGCCGCACAGTAGAATTAGATTGGGAGGGAGGTGGGGCAATGGATGCTGTTTTCATTTTGACTTAAATTTGACTTTTAAATTTAGTCTGTGTATTAACTGGAAACAAATAAAAATTAAATTCAAAACAAGAAAAATTTCTTTTTTGCTCTAAAGGCTAATTCTGGTCTATCTCTCTCTCATGAGTCGTTGTGCTTCTACCTGCAGAAACAGGGAACAAGCTCATCGCTAAAGCACCTGGTACAAAGAGGCATGGTCGTGACACACCAAGGAATGCATGCTTTAACATTCATTCTTTATTATGTGCTTATGTAACAGCTAACACACCTCACATGATGTCCTAAGTATTAGTTCATTTAATTCTCATATGATTACACCTATCTGTAAATGATATAACTGATGCTTCCAAATCATATGGTCAGCCAGTGGCAGAGCCGAGATTGGAAACTGACCAGGCTGACTCCATCCTCCATGCTCTTTACCCCTTTCCAATACACTCCATCCTCTAAGAGCTCTTCTGGGCTTGACTTCTAGCCACAGGCAGAAGCCTGGCTCTGTCATCCATGGGTTAGGGACATATAAACTTTGAACACTAAGCTGGAAAGGCAGTTCTGCATGCGGCAGGTTAGTTTGCTCCTTTCACTAAAAACTCTTAGAAGAGTAGATCAAATATTTTTTGGAGTTTGGAGGCAACAAAGAGCTTTCAAAGCAGTGAGAATTTGTTAGGCCAGGATCCAGAAGAAGAAAGAAGGCAAGAGAGACAAAGCCCAGTATTTGGAGCCACTTTCCCATTGAAGGCAGGTGTTACTTCCAAAAGCAAAACAAGGGCTGAGGGGCTGATCTTCCAACAGTCTCACAAGGCTAGGAAAGAAATTTGAATTCAGGACCAGCCAAAGAAAAAATGTCTTGGTAAACACCACAGCTTCAGGTTGGGACCCCACGGGTTCACACTGGTAGGAGCTGCAGATGAGAAACACATGAGCTCTCACAAACATTGATGCCATGCTTTAAAATGGGTCCATTTCTGGCTGAATGAAGTTGATATGTCCCTACTCTAATTGCCTATCAGGAAAGGAAGAAGAAGAAGAAGCATGTCTGAAGGATGAAAACTTCATCCAGAGCATAAAATTGCCACTATACTTTTTCAATACATAACGTCTAGAATGCAGTCAAAAACAAACATATATAAATAACAATAAGAACTTATAAAAAGAAGAGAAAAGTACAATAGAAATAGACATCCTAGAGATGAAGATATTGGAATTATCAGGCACAAGTTTTAATAAAAACTGTAAAAAGTTATCAAGTAGAAATTCTAGAACTTATGAAATTGAAGAGTCAGTGAATAAGCTAAGTAGTACATTAAATGTATTCTTAAGAAAGAACTGGTGAACTAGAAAATAAGTCAGAGAAAATTATCAGACTGAAGCATAGAGAGAAAAAAAGAAAAAATACAGGGAAAAAAAAGAGAGAGATGCCACTTTTGCCACTTGTATTCATCACAGGAATAGGAGTCTGAGCCTGAGAAATTAGGCAAGAAAAATAAAAGCATCCAAATAGGAAAGGAAGAAGTAAAATTACCCTTATTTGTAGATGACATTATCTTATATGCAGAAAACCTTAAGCATTCACACAAAAAAACTGTTAAAACTAATAAATTCTGCAAAGCTGTAGGATGCAGAATCAACACACAAAAATCCATTGTATTTCTATACATTAATAATGACTAACCTGAAAAAGAAACATAAAAAACAATTTCATTTACACAGCATCAAAAAGAACAGAAAGGTTAGGAATAAACAACCCATGTAATGTCCCAGATGAGCAGCCAGACTCCAGCTAACACTAATCTTAATACTAATATCAGATGATGAAGATTTAAGGGAAAAAAAAAAATACTGGAGAAGAAGAGTTTCATTTCCCAATGATAAAAGAGCCCATAAAATATGAACATATATCGACTCTAAACTTTTTGCACAAAGAAAACAGACAAATCCACCACCATGGGAAATTTTATGTCACCTGTATTGGTAACTGATAGATCAGGCAGATAAGGAATAAGTAAGAAATGGTTGATTTGGACAATACACCATACATGACCTAATTTATATATATATAAATTATTGCACCCAACAATGACAGAATTCACATTCATTTGCAGAGTATACATTTACCAAAATCAACCACATGAACCTAAAGCACATCTCAAAAATTCTAAAGATTGATACACTCAGTGTATATATTCTTTCACTAAAGTAAAATAAGGCTAGAGAATGGGTTTTTTAAAAAGTAATTTGAAAGACCCCCAATTGATGGAAATTAAGCAATGTACTTGTAAATAGCCATGGGCCAAAGAAGAAATCATAATAAATGTTAGAAAAGTTTGAACTGATTGATAATAAAACGTCCATATCAAGATGAGTGGAGCATACCTAGAGCTCTGCATCGGGGAACATTTACAGCCTTAAAAACATCTACTATGAAAGAACAAAATCTGAAGATCAAGAAGCTAGAAGAAGAACACCAACTAAACTTAGGAGAGGGAAAGAAATGATAAAGTTAAAAGGAGCAATTCCAGAAATGGGAAAAAAATTAATGAAATAGGAAACAAATGTACAGTACAGTCAACAAAACACAGTTTTTTATAAAATTCATATTTTAGGGTATTTTTGGTTTTGAGGATGGCAAGGAAAGAGAGGCATTGACTTAGCCCGGGGTGCGGTCCCCAGTGTGTGGGGTGGGCCTGATACTAGGTGGAGGGAGAAGCCCTGTCCAGGGAGGGGTCCTGACTAGTTTGCACGTGGATGTGCTCATCACCCAAACAAGGACTCTGGGCAGAGTGTTATAACCAATGCGAGTGGGTTGAATACACTGATCACAACAGCAAGTTACACTTGACAAGCCTCTGTTTTAAGCTCCCTTCATTCAATAGAGTCACCTCTTAGGAAACCATACTGCCACACTAAAGGGGGAAAAGCACCACATTCCTGTAGCTAAGACCACTGACTTACCAAAGAGACTGTTCTGAAAACTTTCTTGCATGTTCACATATCGAGCCACTTCACAAGTCCTCCTGATGAATCCTGTAAAGGCTTTCCAGTAGGATGCCTGTCCCAGGGACAGCTGGGCTTCTTCAAGGGTGTGAAGTATCCTGCATTCGAAAAGCATCCAGAGAAAACTAAAATTTAATAATGATTTTCCAGAGGGCAGACCATTACAAATTCATCAAAATACATATAGACAAATGCCTGGCAGTCCGTTTATGTTAGAAATTAAATCTTTGAAACAGTTTTCTTAATATATTTTTGTCTATGAATGCTCCAACCCTAAATGAGTTAAAATCATCTATGGGAATATGTAAAATAGAGAATACAACAAATCAAGAGAAAAGAAAGTGGAATATTAAAGGCTGTAATAGGAAACAAGCTTTGACACTAAGAAAAACATTCCTTATTTGACATATTTGATAATGAACTTCCTGACAGCCAAGGAGAACAGAAATTGATCACACATACAATTTAGTGTCATAAAATAAAAACAAGGCAAAATTTCTGGAGAAATAGAGCTCCGAAGAGAAGCTGGCCACTGGTGGTTAATGTGAGAATTCCAATTAATGTAATAAGCAGGAACCTCAGTCATCACTGCAACGTAGACTAAACGAAGGTTCTAGATTTCTTGTGAAAGATTAAGCCAATCATTAAACCTTGAAGAAGCTGTTTAATATTTTCTATTTTTATCCTTAAACATCTCTTAATTCTATCCTTAACAGGATGTACTATGTTGATCTTCACTTGAGCAGCAGATAGCAAGAAGTAGGAATCATTCTGGTTTCCAATTGCTCAGAAGTTTTCTATCAAACACACACTTACACTGTGGAGATAAGCTGGTCCTTACAGGCATCAGAAACATCACTATCCCCCGGGGAGATGTCAGCTGCCAGCAGCTGGAAGAGCCTCACGCAGGAAAGGCTTGCTTCTGACAGCTGGCTCTCCACTTCCTGCCAGCCTGGATAGCCTTCAGGTACAGATTTGGACATATTCGTGTGCCCCGTGATGAACTCTTGCAAAAGATGACCCTTAGCAAGAAAAGAGGACATTGCTTTAATCCATAAAAAGATTATATCTGGGTAACAGCACTGCATCCTTTACCTCCTCTTACTTAAAGGGGTCTCTTTTGAACCCTACCTCAAGGGCCATGTGGTGGAGGATGCTGATCACCAAACTGGGTCCTGGACTGGAATCTTTACTCATGTTCAAGTGAATATTCAGACCCCAAAATAAAGGCTCATACAGGTATAAAGCAGAAGGAACCCTCATGTCAAGCCCATCTGTGCTGGCTGGTCCCCCTTAATAGCCCCCAGTGCACCAGGCCTCCTAATAGTCTAGTTCCTCTTCCCATTCCCACAATTAACCCAGGCTGAGCTGTGACCCATGTTAAGCAACTCAATGCAGCAAAAGTGACATGTACCCAGTACAGTCCTATATTTTCTCGTGCCTAGAGGTCCCCCAGCTGCCACATGAGAAGTGGAGAGGCCACACGGAAAAGAGAGACACTCAGGAGGGGACAGGTCCTGCCCCAGCTGAGCATCCAGACCACAGCCCCCACAGCCATCTGCCTGCAACCACATGAGATGCCCAGAAAGACGCAGAAGGACCGCCTAGAGGAGTCATGAGAGGTGACAATGTGTGCTTTGTCTTAAGCTGCTGAGCTCTGGGGAGGTTTGTGAGTGATAAATAGCCTAAGCCCCACAAGGAAGGCTATGCCACGTGCATAACCTATAAATACACTCATAGCCTGACAAGTCTTGCCAAGTCCCTGCACTGTGGGGCCTCTGAGATGGGCTTTACTGATGCAAAACAATTTGGGATGGGCTTTCTGCCAGCAAAGAGCTTATGAGCCAAGAACAGAGAAGCTAATGTGCAAACAGGTAGTGGTTTTCATGCCTACCTGCCCTCACACACACTTCTCTTTCTGCCTGGGATCTGCTCCTGATTTCCCCTTGCTTCCAAGTCATACACCTGTGTTATAGCTCACTAGGGAAGCCAGAGATGCTGCACTGCATGCACCACGGTTCTCTGACCTCTCGTCCAGGACAGTGTCTCCACATCTGGGCCCTTTGGCATGCTGTCACCAGAAAGTAGGTGCCAAGAGCATTCAGTAGGCTCAACTGAGTGCACACTGTCCTTTTTGCTGTAACAGGTTATAATTCACATTTCCTTATTGCACTGGTTTTATTTTATGGTATATAAGGAAGAAGGTAAAAAATAAACACGTAATACTGAGAATAAACTGCAATAAAATGGATGTTATAGCTTGTAATGCTCAGTGAGAAAAATCCAGGCTCAGCTTGACATAATCACCTTTACAAACAAACCCTTCAGCATCCTGCAGTCCCACATGAGTGCTCAGCAAAGGCTCAGCAGAGCCAGGTATCCCAGGCAGGCACACAAAGGGAGAACATCTTTCTGGTCATTAGAATGCACAGCTTTGCTCCACCTGACTGGTCACCTCCACCTTTCTTTGCATAGATACAAATAAATGGAGCCGGACAGGGAACCCAGGAAACAGACATGGCATGCTGTGAACATCTGGGGTGCTCTCTGGGAGAGCCATTTAATGTCAAGTAGATTTTGGCAGAAGGGTGGCAGACATTGCCTATAGGGTCACACAGGAGGATGGAGTCCAGAGGCACCTGGGAGTCCGTGGGCCAACTGCCTTTAAGCAAATGGCTGATGTCAACACCTGCCTTGTAAAATTCCAGGTTAGGTACTAGCATGTTTGGGGGGGTTAGCCTGTGAGATCAGGTGGTGGACACTTACAGTGTCCTCTGCTGACCCAAGGAGCTTGGTCAAAGCCCTGGTCTCATTGGAAGAGGTGTGGTGACACATCAGCTCCCGGAGGCTGGCCCAGACGCTGGCGTTCCCCGGACGCCGGACGGCCGCTCCCTCAGACCCGTGTCCATGCAGGCAGCCGACAGTAGCATTTTTCATCAGCAGCTACAAGGTAAGTGAGGGTGGTAAGGTCACACTTAGAGAGACTCAGATAGGCCCCTAGGGCCTAGGAAATGTCAAACAGAAATCAGCAATAATCACTATTTTCAAATAAGACATAAATTCTTTATTCACTGGTACCATTCACAACAGGAGCAGACCCAAACACAGCGTAAGCTTCTTGACTGTTGTATCAACTTTACCTGCTTTAACTCCTGAAAGAACACGCCCTTTTCCAGTTTCAACTGGTCAGGTCCACCTGCTTCAGGGTCCTTAGCTGCTGTCTCCAGGCCAGTGAGGACTTCTGTAAGATTGACCAAGGGCTGATTAGTACTCCCCTCAGGTGAGCACCCCCAGGCCAACGCCTCCACGTGCACACGAACCAATCAACATGCTTTCCAGCAGACTGACCTGTTACCAGACATTCTACCTTCTGCCTAAGGGAGGAGAAGTGTGAAAATCATGGCAATACCACTTCAGCCCCTCTGAGCCGCGGGCCAGTGGAGTGGGAGGCGCAGGAGTTTCCCTGGGGAGCAGCAGCTCCTGCTCACTTTCCTCTCCACCAGGAGGGGAAAAGCCTCCAGCCCGCCCAGCTGCCACATGCCCAGCGGCCTCCTAGGAGGGCAGAAGACTGGCACAACCCACACAGTTCACAGGTCCCCAGAGAGGGGCATCTGTAACCGGGGAACCTGCTTTCCCTGCCAACACCCAGAGCAGGGCAGGAACCATGAGGATGATACCCAGGAGGCACTAGGACCATTCCAGCCTGAGCTCAGGGGACTTGGGAGGGAATGTGCCAGTCCCCTCCCCAGCCAGAGAATTGCCCTCCTGCCCTGCCCCCTCCCCATGTGGTGCCCGCCCTCGGGGTCCTGAACTTGCAATGCCCACAGGCGCAGGGAAAGGCACAGATACCAGGCCCTGCAGTGGGGGGTGGGAGATGACCATCTGCAACTGGGCAAAGGTGTCAGCAGCCTCAATTTCACTTTAGCACTGGCACAAGAGTGACAAGTGACAGCAGAGGTAGTTTACCTTGGGTAAAATGTAAATTCTGTCCTATGGCCTTTATGAGAGCTCCATGGAGCCGAAGCAGTGTCTTCAGAGCCGGCTGCTGGGGCAGGTTCTGGAGAACATTCTGCAATTTCTGTAGATGCAGGAATCTGAGGGGAAAATAAATAAATGAAATAAACAGGAAGCCAGTCAATTCCACTCACAGGGAAATGACCCTTGGGACAGAGCCTTCATGGACCGAGCGTCCAGCTTCACTTGTACACAGAACCAGGTTCTTGACAGGGTGCAAGGCTTCAATCAGCCAATCTAGAGATTCTTTTAGGTACTTAGTATGGACTAAACATTCCTTTCACCCCCAAACAGGAAAATATTTTGCTAGCAGCATGTCTAAGTGGCAAAGTTCAGGTTAAAATTCTAGGTGAGATTTAAAGACATTTGCCAGGAAGTCTCCAGTTATCAGGTGCAGAAAAATATTTCAAGAAGAGTTTCAGAATATTGAGATGTGTATGGTGGCATGCAGGACCCAGCAGCATGGCCCCAGTCGGTATAAATTAGTATCTCTGGGAGCCTCAGGGATGGCACTCCTCATCTGGCACATGGGTGTTGAGAGAACACCTTGCTGAGGGTCCCAGAGGCACCCCTGAGTCCTCAACTCCTGAGGATCCATAAAACCACAGAACCCAGGAGAGGAGCTCTCAGGACTCAGCCACCTTCCAGGAGGTGACATGGACTGGAGCAGGTGCCCAGGAGAAGGCAGACCTGTGTCTCAGGGTGCCAGCATCCTCAGTAAGAAACAGGAAGGCTTAGGGCCCTGTGCTGTTCTATTTCTTTCCACTGGAAGTTGTGACTTAGCAAAAGAAGTATGAACACACGGCTGGAATAAGTAGCAATACAGCAGCCCAGGCCTCCCAGCCCCAGCTTATGGCCAGAGCATCGTGAGTACCTGAAGAAGCTGGAGGAGGGTGCACATCAGATTTCCCGAGGGGTGTGACTGGGAGTGGACACAAAAGTGCAGCTCTGGAGAGGAGGTCCCAGAGACCTTGGTAGGTGTGACAAACGGCAGGGAAGGCCGCCCAGGTGGGGAGGGCCACAAGGCCTCAGTGCAGAGCAGAGCCCTAACCACAGACACGCCCACCACCACCCACCTGCTGAACAGCCTCTCAACCTCACCCCAGGGCAGGAGAAAGCACGTGCCCCCACAATGCCAGAATTCACAAGGATGCATGTGCAAGGGGGCATCCATATAGGAAGCCATTGGATCTGTGGGAAGAAGGTGCAGGCGGGGGTGCCAGAAAGGTTGGATCAGCAGGAAGGGTGCAGGGAGGACAGCAGAGGTCCATAAGGGCCGTCTAGACACAGCCTCTCCATCAATCCCATTGCAGCTGCAAGGCCAGTGGCTCATTCCTTCTTCGAGGTGGAGGCACAGGGCCTCTGGGAGGCCTGCCTGGAGCGTGCAGCAACCAAGAGCTTGGAAACCCACAGAGACCACCCAGTGATAGTAGCAGCCATGGGGAGGTGGGGCCCAGAGAGGCCAACTGCTGTACAGCTCAGGGTTTGTCTGTCACCAGAAAGCAGCTTTGTATGACCTGTAACAAAAGTGGTGTACACGCAGAAGGGGAGGCTAACAGGGGCCCCTGCTTGCCTGGCACACACAGCCAGTGAGGAAGACCTCATCTTCCCGCCCTGAGTGTGTGCAGGACTTAGGTGTGGTAGTACTTAGAGCCAGTGCAGCCTGTAATGACCCAATCCCTGAGCGAGCTAAGAGCCAGGAAATCTTCTGGTGGACAAAAGTGCCAGGGCCCTCTAGAGGCTTGTAGGGCCATTAAGGTGACCTCATGTGGTGTCTCTGTTAATGTGCATTAAGTAACAGAGGTGTTATTTTAAAACACCTTTAAAAAGAATAACACCAGGGGCCAGCAGTGTTTTCAGCACCCCAGGCAGTGTCCTGCACTAGAAGCTCACTAATGACAGAATGGTTTGTCCCTGCCCTTTGTCATCTAATGGTTGCATGGCATCTGCTGTTGCCCTCCCCACCAGCTCCCACCCTACTCTGTCATGGCACCCACAGGCCCCAGCAAACTCCAAAGCAAAACCGGGAAACTGGACCTTCCAAAGGAGATCTTCCTGCTTCCTAATGTGGCTCCAAGAAACACAAAAGGGTTGGAAGCATCCCCAGTTCCTATTTCTTCTGTATGCCATAAAAATGCCCAACCAGTCTGACAGCCCAGCTCTCTCTGAGCCTTCTATACAGGTTCAGGAGTGTCTGTGACCCATGCTTTGAACTGAGCCCCCTTGAGACACTGCTGGGAAGTCTTACTGCTCTCTTCCCAGGAGGGCCTACATTTCAGGAGCATGAAGACCCATCAGCTTGCTACAAACTGCACACTTGCTGAAGAAAAGAGCTGGGACCACAGCAGAGCCGGCCGTTTTGGCACACGGGTTCTGGTTTATCTTAAAAATAGAGAAGCCACGAGTTCATCTTGTCCTACTTCTGAAATATTTCTGGACCTTATGTAAACATTTCAACTCTAGAACATTTCATAGTAAATATGAAAACAGGTAGTTCCTTACATGGAAGTACCACTGCAACGTTTTCGTGCATTTTAAAACAAATGTCAGACAGAAAACCTAAAATCCAGAATGCTGATGTCTTCTCTAATATTGTTCCCCCATGAGGTGGTGGTTTTCCACATGTGAGCAGGCATCGGACTGCTGCAAATAGCTCCGTGATGGTCTGAAATAAAACCTTGCATTTCCAGACACTACCTAGAAATTCATTGCATAACTGGAGTTTTATAGAATTCATTTCATCGCATTCTTTCAAAAGCACTGTTGTCTCGCCTAACAGATAAACAAACAGGAATCTGCCTTACAACTGTGGAGATGCATGGCTGCCCTTGGGGCCATCCGCCGGCACGCTCTCATTCAGGAGAAGAACCACAGAGAGCAGAGCTTCTGCCACCCTCCATGGCTCACTGGCCTCCTCAGCCTGACTCCTGAGCACCTCCAGACTGTGGGCAGCCCCTGCAAGCACCTTCTGGAGCAGGCCACCCTTCTGCCACTGAGCGAACACCTGCATCGTGGAGAAACCCGAATGTTACTATTAGCAACAACACATTCAGAAGAACAGTATTTACCTAAGTAGTAACAGACCCCCAGATGACAGCCCATTCTTAGGTTGTTGGCAGTTATGTCAAATGTCTGCGCACCACACTTTAATTTCTACTCAGAAATTAGAGGTGACAAATTGCAACAATGGTTGCAATGTAACTTCTCAGTTAGGGCCCTGCTTCCCTCCTTCCTTCCTCACTCCCAACCCCAAGAGTGAAGGTAATGACATATATTTCTCAATGAGTGACATATACTGTAAAAACTAAACTGACATGCTTAGAGTAGTATAAACATATTCATATACTTAAAATTATATTGTAATTAATATATGGTTTCTAAATACCATTTTATGGCATGGATTTGGGGATAGTGATACTAAAGACAATTGGTGTTGTGATTTATCCTCAACATTACACCAAAATTAGTTTGTTCATGCTCAAATTATGAGGCTTGGGTAAATAATCACAAGCATCTCTGTGGCTAATAACCCTTAACTAATCGTGAGTTTAGGATTCCAGGTAACACACCAAGCAAGGGTGGCCACCTGACCATGTTGGGGCTGGTCAGGTCAGCAGTGTCCCCTGGTCACTTCAGTGCCACCAAGTGGATGATCACACCCACATTTTTTTAATGACCTTTTTTCCACTAATTGACAATTTGACATTTATCAGTGATGCAGTAGGTAAACAAAAGTCAAAACATATGAGTCCTTTGAGGGAAACTTGTGATGGGAAGTGAAAGTGCAGTAAGATGAGGGGAGAGTGACCGCTAGTTGAACCTCTGGTTCATATGGACCCCCCTCCCAGAAAGACTGGGATGTGAACCAGCCTAGGTATGGGCTTCCGAGGCCAGGGCACACAGTCGCCTGCTCTGTGCTGCGCCAGCGCATCCGTGAACACACCACAGCCCCTCCTATCCATTGCCTTGAAAGGCACAGTCACTGTGGGGGCACAGTGCTTCCTGTCAAAACTGGAGCAGAGGGACAGGCCAGCTGGCACCCCACATGCTCCAGGCCTCTGAAGCTCTGCACCCAAATGCCGAAGTAGGGCATGAAACCAGCCAGTGGCAATCCCTCAGGCCCATAATGGATTGCAGTTCTTGTAATGCACACAGGTGTCTAAGGGGGGCTTTATGGTGATATTTCGGTTGAGGGCTCAGTGAGCTGAGGCTAATGGATGCAATAGGAGAGGGGCACATAAGGGCCAGGATGCAGGGTTCCCAGGTCCCTCCCTGGGAGGACACAGAGAATGATGTGCGCAAAGTGGGTGGATATGAGGGCTTCGAGCTTCGTTAGCAAAATGAGTCATCTCCAGAGACGGGCTGCACAGCTTTGTACCTACGTCAACAACACTGCATTGTACACTGGAAAACTTGTTAAAAGGGCAAATCTCATCTTCTGTATTCTTACCAACATAAAATAAAATGACAAAATGTTTATAAATCCAGCAATAAGAAATGCAGGAGGAAAGTGAAGAGGTTCAGACACATTTAAAAGTGGTGCACACCAGGACAGAGGTGTGCTGTTGGGGGACAGCACCTGTCTGTAGACTTGCAGCCAGCTGACTGCATGGACCAGATAGTGTCTGGCTGCTGACCATCTGGGGTGACAGTCTCCATGGTGACCATCTCTGTCAGCTTCATCCTCAGAGGTGCCAGACAAGACTGTACACACCATCCGATTCAGCAAACTGTCTGTGGGAATCTGGCAATGATATGAATAGTATTTAGAAGCCAAAAATTTTTCTAGAATGTTTCCCTTCTGAGACTAATACACTGTCTTGCCAAAGGAAAAGCTCTGATATTATTTGATTGAAGAAGTAACAGGTTGACAGTGTCACCTGTAGCGTCCATGTGGATGTACCCTGAGGAGAGGCCTGGGGAGTTGGGAATGAATTGCTTAGAGTTTTCAGGAGAGCCCACAAGCAGCGGGACCAGCTGTTCTCCAGCCACAGATGCAGGACGCGCCAAATAGTCCTCATTTCACTCTCCAGCCAAAAGCAAACACAGGCCTGTCCAGTTTAACTGAAATGGTGAACTAATAAAGTTGCATTGCCCGAAAAATCTTCTTTCCTAATTCTCAAAGATGGATGAAGGTGGAAGGATTCCAGTTGGGGTTCTGGGTCAGCCACCATTTAACAATCGGAGCTAAATCTCCTTTATTTCTGTAAACGAGCTTCCACACCTTTCTAACGCAGTTCTGTGGAAATACTTAGGTTTGTGTCAAAACAAACCATGTCCCCCTGTCACAGTTACCCACAATCGTGGGGTCACCCTTCAGAAACTCGGTGGCAATGGCCAGGCAGCATCAAAGGCCCACTTGTTCCTGTTGACCCTTCCTTTAGGATCCAGATTAAAAACATTCACTTGTGACTATCAAGTTGCAAAGCCACTGGGTTCCCCCTGGTTTTTAGTCTGGTTTTTTACTTTAATTTAAAAAAAGGAGGCAGGTGGTACCACGTGGCCTTTTCAGGAACTAGGGCCCAGTCCCTGACCTTAGGACGCACACAGTCCATGAGAGGCAGACAAACAGCCTTCAGGTTCCCCAGGACGGGCCCGGTCACAGACGGTCACAGCGGAGGGGCTGCTGGCGGTGAGGTCAGGAGAGTTCATCCAGGATGTGAGGTAAAATGAGTCTGTTTCTCAGTGGGAAGTGGAGGAAGTGGGGGGCCAGCTCCTCCATTGCAGGGGCGGGATATGTAGAGGCCCCAGAATGGGGCAGCATCCAGAATCAGGCAGGACCCGGGGGGACCTGGGAACCTATGCCATGCTAGCCTTACACGGGGTGGAGGCAGCGTAATGGCCCCCAAAAAACACTCGTGTCCTAATCTCTGATCCTAGGAATATGGAAGGAGGGAACTGGGCTTGCAGATGAAATTAAGTCTGCTAATCAGCCAACTTTAACTTGGGGGATTATTCTGGATGCTCAAGTGAGCCCAGTGGAATCCCTGGGTCCTTAGACGTGGGAGACAGAGGCACTAGAGTCAGAGTGATGGCCACGAGACAAACTCCAGCAGCCATCACTGGCTTTGAGGAGGTTGTGGAATGCAGTGGCTCTGAGGTCTGGAAAAGCAGGGAATGGCATCTCCCCGGAGCCTTACGGAAGTAAGTGTGTGCTGTTCAGGCCCCGATGTTGGCGGCAGTTTGTTACAGCAGCCATGGAGACCTAGCCCTGTGACACTCGATTTCCACGGAGCTTTGTGGACTCTTAGTGATATTCCCTGACCATTGTCCCTTTAATTCTAATCTCTAAGTTTTTATCATTTCAAGGTAAAAGTCTTCTATAATTTGACTCAAACTATATCCTAAATCAATGAGAAAATGGAGTCATAAAGTATCGAGAACACTGGAGTAAAAGCCAGCTGGCTGGACTTTCTCATCCCACCTACGACAGCACCCAGGAGAAACGCCAAAGGCACAATTCCAAGTCCTACAGGAGGCAAATCATTAACAAAAGTGTGCCAGTGGGACAAGAGCAGAAAGCTGCTTATATTCTGGCTATGCCCGAGACCAGCCTGGCAGAGGGTTTTCCAAACACCATGCCAGAGAGGAGGCAGCAGGCTGAGAGCCCAGATCCAGAGCCCAAAGTTCAAAAGCAGCAGTCTGCACCCAAATGGTAGCTGCATTTGATGTGAAAAGAGTCATCAGGAAAGGACCAGTCTGTGGGAACTCTGAGAAATGAGCAGAACCCACCCCCTGAGTGTGGATCAAGGGGAAGGCATGGCTCTTTGCGGAAGGCTCAGTACTTCAACCCTGACCTGGGTGCTGCTCCAGAAAAGCCCTCACCCCAGAGGAGAGGTCCGTGCACCAAGGGGAGGCAGATGATCCTTGGATTGATGAAGGAGAACCATGCGGGAACAGAGTCCCTGCAGGACCTCAGGAAGAGCACCAGTGAACTGGGTCTCAAGGGGTCAGCTAGTTCAATGCCTACATTTTACAGTTCGGAAAGTAATGGCCCATCTGCTGAGCCCAGTGGCCTCTAAGACTTCCTCTTTGCCTGGGGAGCAGCCCCTCATACTCCAGTGTCCCATCAGGCCCCCAGTAGCTGCTGCTGGTCTTCAGAACTCACACCCTCACCTGACCTGGCCTCTCCCGCTGCTAGTGCCCAGAGCAATGAGGTGTCCTCCTACTTCCAAGCTTCCTTTCAGGCCAGGAAAAAGTGACAGGGTACAAGCACAGGGACACCACTAGGAAAGTCAGACACAGCAGGCCCTCCGGGTCCCAGGAGCTGGGATAGTAAAATAACCCCTTGTCCTGCTGTCCTTCCTATCCCAGCACCCACCCTACCCAGGAGTACATTCTAGAGTCACTTGCCAGGAGAAACACAACCGCGTGAGAAGCAGCCGAGCATGTGCATACCTCCTGTAATTCAGCTGGATAACTCAGGATTCGTTCTGCATGAAGGGCATCAAAACCAAACCAGGATCTCAGGTCATCCTTGACCTTCTGTGGATGCCACACCAGCATCTGCAAGGACAGGTGGTAGCCTGACTCTGCAAGACAACCAATGATTCACACAGTCAGGTATTCCAACATTGTGACATGCTGAAGCTATTCTAAAAACGACACCCTCTTTGCTTTTAAAGGAAAAACCAATGCAGACCAGCTGCCATTTGGACAAGCCAAGAGGAGAAGCAAGCCAGCTACCAGTGGGTGTGCAGAGGGTGCTCTGAGATAGCCACTCTGGGATAAATGACAGCAACGTTTCCAGATGATAATCGGACAACATACTTCAAGGGCTTCATGAAATTCAAATCATTCAGCCCAATAATTTCACTTCTGAAAAAAATCTTTCTCAAGAAACCTTATCAGGCATCTGAAGAAAAAGTCATGTACAAAAAGTTTACTGCGTTGGTTTCATCCTGCTTAAATTTGAAAAGTCAAAGCCTCTAGCATGGAGAAAAAGGACAAATCATGCAATAGTCACAATGTAAAAGACTACATAGTCTTGAAAACTGTACTGCCAAAAATCATTTAAAGTCATAGACCAAGGTTCCCCTACCAGAGTTAGTCAAGGTATTAAACTCATCAGCCACAACCAATAGCCCAGCAACAAACAGCACTGCCTGCAAGTGGCACTCCCCAGACAGAATTCTGAGACCTCCAAGGTTTGGCAAAATCTCTGTGTGCGTATGGCCTGGCAACTTCAAACATAACAGCACATAAATCCATTTCAGATCCTGATTCAACACCATCTGCTGAATGCCTACATGTGCCAAACTACATGAAGCCATTTTCCCGTGCACGAGCTCATGGTGTCCCCAAATGAATGCTGTGGGTCCACAGAGAAGGCACAGGCCTGCCACTACAAAATGAGCCCAGACATGGGAACTTCTTCAGTGAGAAGGAACTGAAGGTAGAGCTGATCCCAGGAATCCAAGACTCCTGCCTCCAGGCTGATAGTCTTCCTGGGATCCTGATAAAAGGACCAGGCTTGCGATTGAAACTAGCATTTGTTGTGTCAAAGAGGTACCAGGTGAGCCCTCCAACAAGAGGGCAGGCAGGTGCAATAACATCCCCCTTTTGGGAGAAGGCAGCAGATGCTGAGAGCCACTTAAGGTCAAACTTCTACATCAAGTCATGCTTCGAACCCAGATCCAGTTTCCAAGTCTACACTGCAACCACTCATCTCCACTGTTCTCAGAACGTATGGGAACTATTCATAGATTTCCAGAGAGGAAGAGGGAAAAACAAATAGTAACATCAGTCAGGGAATGGGTATAACACCCTAAAATCATTCTGAAAAGTAAAAGACAGCTTCAGTTCTGAATGTCCTTACTGAATGACAGAGTTCCAAATGTGCAGGTTAATGATGCCAATGAGTAACATGACTGGGCCATTTGCCCTACACCACTAACAGGCATGTCCCCTCCCTGCCACACACTGTGACATGCACATGAAGCAAAGAATTTTTTCTTGAAGACCAGAGAAATGGAGGTCATTTTCATTGCCTCTAGAATATGTTTTGTAATTGCATTCCTCAGCTTTCCTGCACTGGCAAGTTGATAGAAAATAGCTTATTTTAATTACACTCTTAGCTGTAATTACATTTCCAATTGTAAGGTAAACCGATTGCTCTAATTTGGATCAGGTTCAAAAACTTGAGTTTATAATGAGTCTGTTAAACTTGAGGTCACTGGGAGACTTCAAGGAGGTGTTCTATGTACCTCCCTCCACCTCTGGTTTTGTTCAGAGCACAAGAAATAATTCCCACTGGAATTCACCTGTGGGAGAGGCGAGCTAAATAGTAATAACTTGGTTGCCCTTTACAGAGTGGAAGTGGACAAAGAAACTGCTCCTCTCTGTGGAGCTCCTGCTACAAGGAGCCCCCAGCCAGAGGACCTAGAGTGTGACTGGGGAGATGGAGAGCATCAGGGTAAACTATTCCCTGGACAGGAAGTCTGCAAGGGTTCACAGGAACCTGTGTGTGCATCCATCTCAGTATTCAAATAGGACATTTCCAGAGGAGAGCCGATGGAGGGGATGTGACCCTGAACCCCTGACTGCAGGTTGGCCACCCCTCACACCTGCCCCAGGGGAAGCTTCCCACAACACAGACCCAGCTATTCTGCTCCGGGGTTCTCCTGTGATCAGATCTTCTTCTGAACTACCTCCTGCCATTGCCCACTATCCCACACAACCTGAATGCCAAGCACAGGACCCTCACCAAGTCCCAGGACTTTGCACACAC